GCAGGGAGAGAGAGGAGCGCAGCAGCTGCCAGCTTCACATCGTGTGATCAAGGCCATTCTCCTTGTGCCTTACTGCCTAAGTATCTTTAACCGAAGTAGCACATATTCTTTTCCTGTTTTCCTCTGCCTGCCTCCACTTCCCTCTCCTTCCTTTGTTGTCTCCATTGTGTCTAATTATAGATTATATCCCTTTGGCAAAAGGACATCGCCTCTTGTAACTCAGCAAAGCGACATGCACACCAATTATGCTGTATAAATCAGTCATCTTCGTTGCCCAAAATAGCCCAAGAGATAATTCAAACTCATGCTGTTTTAGATTTAGATCTGTATGGGCATGAACAAATTATCAATTCATTCTCTCTGCTTACAGAAGATCTTATGTCCTTTTTCACAGTACCAGCCATCCAAGTAAATCGGGCCCTTTTTAAGACCGGTGCCCCTTGGTTTAACTTAAAATGCAAACAAGCTAGACGACATCTTTGTGCCATTTACAATGAATATAAATCTTCTGGTGCTTTAGTATTACCTAGGAATTACCAACAAGCAAAAATAGCATATAAGCAAGCCCAGAGAATGGCTAAGCAAGAGTGGCAACAAAATCGTTGGCAGGCACTTATAATCGCCTCTAGTTCACGTAACTCACGGCAATTTTGGCAATTGATTAATAGAAGAACAAGGAGATACCCCTTAACAATAATTCCTGCCCCGGTCTGGGAATCCTTTTTAAGGAAATATTTTGCGTCACCAGATCCCAATACCAACGTTCTTGATGATGTATTTGATCATCTCCCCATCTGGCCTCCTACTGACCCCGATGAAATCTTGAATTTAATCTCTAAACTTAAAATCGGCAAAGCCCCTGGGCCAGATTTGGTTCCGGCGGAAGCCATAAAACTACATTCCGACTGGTGGGCAAAAATCCTGGCTGTTACTTTCGATGCTATTAATGCAACTGGAGGGTGCCAAAAATATGGAAGGACGCAATTATAATTCCAATATATAAAAAAGGCTCCCCAGACGATCCGGAGAATTATAGGAATATTAGTTTACTGTCAATAGTTGGAAAGATATACGCACGTTTTCTGCTGAATAGACTTACCCAATGGGCTGAAGAAAAGAAACTGATAGGCCCCGAGCAAGCAGGATTCAGACCGAACCAATCAACTACAGACCATGTTTTAGTCTTGCACCATCTAGCCCAGAAATATTCCTCTTCAAACCGAGGCCAACTTTGTGCGGCTTTTATCGACCTTAAGGCTGCATTTGACAGCATCCCCAGAAGATTACTCTGGGAAAAGTTGGCCCGATGGGGAATTGATAGAAGACTTTTATGGTTAATAATCCAGCTGCATGAGGGGTCGGCTGCTAGGGTGAGAATAACCCCAGCCGGCGATCTCACAAACTCTGTGCCCATCAACAGAGGAGTCCGGCAAGGATGTATCCTAGCTCCTTTTCTTTTCAATTTATTCATTAGTGATATGAGGATACCATTGGCTGAATCTCAGGAAAACATCCATGCCCCCCGTCTCGCAAACTATCGTTGCCCATTATTACTCTATGCTGATGATGCTGTGATTTTATCCTTTTCAAGAATTGGCCTCAGGAGAGCATTAAAACTCTTTGTTTCATATTGTAAAACAAATTCCCTCACTATAAATCAATCTAAATCAAAAGTATTAATTTTCTCAAAAAGTCGGAAATCCTATAAGTGGCAATTAGATGGAAAACCTATTGAACAGGTCTATAAATTTCAATACCTGGGAGTTTTTCTCCAATATAATCTGGGTTGGAAGGCGCATATTGCATATGTTTTAAACAAGGCCAAGGCCCTATCCTTTGCGCTATTGCGCTTTTTCTTTTTGGACGGGGCTCTTCATGTTCCATCTGCCTTGAAAGTATTCAAAGCTAAAGTAATTGCAACATTGGCATATGCTGTTCCTTTATGGGGGACCGCAGTAAACTTGATGCCCTTGGAGGTAATTCAAAATCAATTTCTAAGACGACTGCTAAAACTCCCTCAGTGTGTTAGTAACGCAGCTATTCGCTTAGAATTAAAAACTACATCTTTAGAAAATACTCTTTGGAGGCGTAGCCTTTGTTACTGGTTGTCCTTAAGGCATAGACTCCCGAACCTGTATTTGATCCAATGCCTCTGGAGAGATAATTTTCCCGTCCTAGGGGCAAAAGAGATCCATTCTAAAGTAGTGACCTATGGATTGTCTCCATCAGAATTATTGGAATTGGACCTAACCACAGCAAAAAAAACCCTCACTCAAAAACTTGAGGAGATTGACCTACAACAAAACACCATTTTGGGTAGTGGCACTTGCTCACCATTAAATCTTGGCATAGTCCCCTCACAGCAGATACCATCTTATTTGACTTCTTTGTCTGTAGCGGTCCACAGATATGCCTTTATTAAGGCAAGATTTAACGCCTTTCCTTCCAATGTCTTGAATAATAGATTTTCCAATGGTCAGATCTCAGCGGTGTGTGTATGTGATAATAGATCTATAGAATCTTTACAACATATACTATTCTGTTGTCCACTACATTCAGTTTCTCGGATCAGATTCTTGTCCCCTTTATTATTGGAAATCTCAGGTGACTCCTTGGAAACACAGCTAATATATTTATTGCAAGATTCTGATCCGAGTAGGTCCCTTTCTGTTGCCAGATTTCTGATAACAGTATTAGCTTATAAGAGGAAAAATGGATTACTCTATGACTATTGATTTTGCTTAAATAATATTGATATATACTGATAATTTGATATTTTAAGCGATATATTGTTCTTATTTTAATGGAACTTAGAAATTTACGGTTTGAGATGTACTTGATTTAAATGTATTTTAATTTTTAATTTTTTAATTTTATTTTGTTATACTTGTTCTGTTGCATGATGTATTGAATATGGGCCTATGGCCGTAATAAACTAATCTATCTATCTGTGCCCAAAATAGCCTCTTATCTATAGAAATCTTTGACATGCTTCTTAGGACAAAGAGGTCATTTTTCTTTCCTTTGACCATAACTGTTCTCCATATATTCTCCACCTTTCTGCTGAAATAATACTTCATCATTTTTATTTTTATTTTACTGTGGAACTGTTCAAAACAACATTTTAAAAGCATCTAAGCAATTTGTTTATTGTATTTATTCGTTCAATAAAAACTCAAAGTATTTTACAAAATGCAAATGCAAGTGACACCTTTTGCTTTGTGTGGTTGTATATTATACTTAAAATTACATTAACATTCTGTGCCGGTTTTCTTTTTCCTGTTCCACGCAATCTGAATACCTCTCTTGCAGTTCTCTTTTGTGGGCTGAGTAAAAGGAAAATATAGATTGAGTGATTTTTGTGTGCATTGGGCCTTAAGTATTTTGCATTGTTAGTGACTGAAGCCATTCAGCATTCCTTAATTTCAGCTGAGAATATTTACAGTGTACAACATCATTGTTTTCTATGTAAGCCTTCTAAAGAACTAATCAGGCTAAAGGTACATTACAGTATGCTGCTATATCATTTTATTCTCACAACAGCCCTTTGAAGTTGGCCAGGTGGAGAAATAATTACTTGCTCCAGGCTGTAGTTTATGGGTGAGAAGGTATTTTTGACCTGTGGTTTCTCTGTAACATATATTTTAGCCTTATGAACAAAGAGCTGCCTCCACCTAGTTATCAGGGTTGAAATGCATCTATTTTCAGGCATTGCATACACCTACCATTAGGTGACATGAAGGTATTTTATAGCCGGATGGAAGTATTCATGGCAATGAAGTGTTTGCCTCATCAAACTGCAAAAGGATCAGTGAGAGAGTGGGGAATCTCCTTACTGCAAGGTTTCAGGCTCCGATATACTCATAAACAAATCCCAGGAAAGGAAGGTCCAACTCTGTATGAACTCTAGATATAGTACCTGACATGATATATATTCTCTTGGAACTACTCAATCTAGGGCCAAAGAAATAAACAAGTGGCTACTTTTAGGTCATTTTGCTTAGGGAAGTTAACATAATTAATTTAAGGAATCTTGCTCTCCATTCTTTAGAAACCTGCAGGTTTACATTTCTATCATTTTCTAAATTAATAGATATTAACATTCTAATAAGCATGACCAACATACCTGATGAAGAGTTTTTGTTGATTTTTCCTTGGTCCTGTTAAAGACCATGAATTATTTGCTTTGATCCAATGAGCACAGCTCAGATTCCACCAGAGGTGGAAACCCTCCAACCTGTAGGTCAAATTAAACCTGCCAGGCCCTGGAGGTTGACCCACCCAACAGTTTTGGGCAAAGCATGCCCACGTTTTTGGGCCTGGCATATATGAAAGTTCAAACCGCAGGTTAAGGAAGAAGAATCTCCAGCGCACTTTCGGTATGCCTCTGATTCTTCCTTTTGAAGACAAAACACTACACTTTTGAATATGGTGCCTTTTCCTGTCACCCTTCAATATGTATTGAATGAAGAGTGCTGTATATTTACTATAATGTCTTAATGCCAATCCCAAAATCCCTCGTACCTACGGGACTGCCTCTCCCGGTATGCCCCCTGGAGAGCCTCAAGATCCATAAATAGCAACACCCTAGTGGTCCCAGGCCCTAAGGAAGTTAGATTAGCTTCAACCAGAGCCAGAGCCTTTTCAACACTGGCTCCGGCCTGGTGGAAACCTCTGTCTCATGAGACCAGGGCCCTGCAGGATCTGATTTCTTTCCGCAGGGCCTGTAAGACAGAGTTGTTCCGCGTGGCCTTTGGCTTGGAGCCAATTTGATTCCCTCCCCCTCTTTCTTTTTTCTTTTCCTTTCTCCTCCTGCAATGAGGTTTCAGTATTTTAATGTTGTACTTTAATTTTGTTTTTAAGTTGTATTCATTCAATTTGTTTTTATTATTGCTTGTTAGCCGCCCTGAGCCCGGCCTTGGCTGGGGAGGGCAGGGTATAAATAAAAATTATTATTATTATTATTAGTGTGTCTCATCAAGCATTCTATTCATTGGCAGCCACAAGCTCAGCCCATTTAGAAGATCTAGCTTATCTAGATGAACAGAGGCATGCTCCCCTACGAACATCACTCCGGATGCCTCGCCAGAGTATGGCTGGTGCTCGCACACAACAGGACCTAAGAGGTAAGCATTATGTGTGTGCAGCTGTGACATATCCCGGGGTCTTTAGCAGCTACCACCCTAGTACAGATGCCTACTGAAAGTGTCAACATTCTGAGAAGGAGCCTAGTGTAGTCTGGGCCATCTCTGGCTGTGCTACAGTAAGTTATCCCGAGCTATCCAAAACATAATTGGAGTTGCTTTAAAGCAGGGTTTCCCAAACTTGGGTCGCCATTTGTTTTTGGACTACAATTCCCATCATTCCTGACTTGCTGGCTAGGGATGATGGGAGTTGTAGTCCAAAAAATAAACACCAAAAAAAAACAAAACAAACAAAAAACCAGCTGAAGACCCAAGTTTGGGAAATCCCGCTTTAAAGTAGTAAGATTTAAATAAAAAATATTTACCACTTTTTTGGCCACTAATAGGACAGTATAAATGGTGCTATCCACATACAGTATGAGAGCTTATACGTACTGGGGGATTCCCCAGCTATGGCAAAAAAAGACTGTATATTAAGAAAGATTACTTTATATATTTTAAAAAGAGGCAGAGAGAGAAACCTTTTCAAATGTATGTGTGGTGGTGGGTGGTGGGTGGGCCTTTGTATCTGCAATGTCCTTCCCATAGTAACAGAATCTTAAAAACAGTTAAAAGCGCCATAATTATTGAAAGACAGAGCAGAATATACAAAATAGAGGAAGGGAAATCTGCCCACCCCTGTTTTTATAGTCGGTGTTCAAAAACTGAAGGTGGCATGAGGCCGTTGGGGACCTCCCCCCCCCGACCCTTCCCATCGAATTACATTTCCTTCTGCCTTTTTTGAAATTTCCCAACTTCTCTGTATTTGAATAGAGCAGTGCTATAGTAGCGAGTGATACCTAAGTTCAAATGGATCCCTTGAAAAGCGCACCATTGTTCAGGACTAGAAGGTGGCACTCGGCGCTTCCTAGTTACTGAATTTTACACATGTTTTTCCCCCCCTTTGCAGTACGCTTTGCACCTTACAGACCTCCTGACATCTCTCTGAAACCGCTGCTTTTTGAGGTGCCCAGCATCACCACAGAATCTGTATTTGTTGGCCGGGACTGGGTGTTCCAAGAGATAGATGTACAATTGCAGAGTGCTGATGCCAGTGTGAACAGAGGTGTGGTGATCGTTGGAAATATAGGCTTTGGCAAGACAGCAATCATCTCCAGACTGGTTGCGCTGAGCTGCCATGGCACACGGATGAGGCAGATTGCTTCTGACAGCCCCCACGCATCCCCAAAACGTAAGTGAAGAGATGTACTAACTGGATAAATCTGTTGTGTGCTTATATAGGTTAAGGTAAAGGTAAAGGGACCCCTGACCATTAGGTCCAGTCATGACCGACTCTCGCTTTACTGGCCGAGGGAGCCGGCGTACAGTTTCCGGGTCATATGGCCAGCATGACGAAGCCGCTTCTGGCGAACCAGAGCAGCGCATGGAAACGCTGTTTACCTTTCCGCCAGAGTGGTACCTATTGATCTACTTGCACTTTGACGTCCTTTCTTACTGCTAGGTGGGCAGGAGCAGGGACCAAACAACGGGAGCTCACTATATAGGTTACATATTATCTAATGGAGATGTGCTCCTGTATCCTGTACGCAAGCAGGTTGGGACAGTTCCTTGCATTTGTAGGTGTGAGAAATTATAGGGATCCTGAACTATTCATTTTCCAGTCATATACTATAAGAGCTTGGAATTGCTATAAATTCAGCTTTTATTTCCATTGAATCTAGACTTGTCTTTCCACTTACTACCGCTCAGATAAGAGTGCTGGCAGCTATCTGCCTATATACTGAAACATTTGGGTGCCAATCTTTACAATGAGGACAGATACAAAGAGTTCTTAGTGACTTCTCCACAATTAAGACTTCTTCCTCTGGAAATCATACTGAGTTCAAGCCAGAGGATGTTTTGGAAAGCTATTTTAGTGGCCAGGAACATATGTCAGCTTGGGTTTATTTAATGTACAAAGCTTTGAATAGGTTTGGTAGTACTTATGCATCGAGAGCCTTCAGGGTGACATAAAAAGCCTAATAGAAAAATGCTTTTATTGATGGTGGAGAGGTACTGTGGTAATTTCATTCTGGGGACTGTAGGCTATTCTAGTTTTATATGGTGCCATTTTGGCTGCATTGCCTTAATGTCCAGCTGCCCACTCCTATATTCCTTTATTTGACTCCTGTTTTTCCATGACCTGCTGTTTACAAATGTTGGCTTGTGTAAGGGAAATCGAGCTGTCCTTCTAGGGTGCATAGATGTGATTTGCTTGCTTCTCACTCTTTCCATCTTTCCGCCTTTTCTGCATTGCAGATGTTGATGCAAACAGAGAGCTCCCCCTCACTCAACCACCTTCTGCTCACTCTTCTATCACAAGTGGAAGCTGCCCTGGAACCCCAGAAATGCGCAGACGTCAGGAGGAGGCTATGAGGAGGCTTGCTGCCCAGGTATTACTTCTCCACCCAAACTTTTCATTCTGTTTTTCTTTCATATGGATGAAGCAAACCAAGGGAAAGGAATAGTGTACTTTAAGTCCTGCTACAGATACTTAACAACTATTTATTACACTATAAGGTAAAGGGGCCCCTGACCATTAGGTCCAGTCGTGGCCGACTCTGGAGTTGTGGCGCTCATCTCGCTTTATTGGCTGAGGGAGCCGGTGTACAGCTTCCGGGGCATGTGGCCAGCATGACTAAGCCGCTTCTGGCGAACCAGAGCAGCGCACAGAAACGCTATTTACCTTCCCTCTGGAGCGGTACCTATTTATCTACTTGCACTTTGACGTGCTTTCGGACTGCTAGGTGGGTAGGAGCAGGGACCGAGCAACGGGAGCTCACCCCATTGCGGGGATTCGAACTGCCGACCTTCTGATCGGCAAGTCCTAGGCTCTGTGGTTTAACCCACAGCGCCACCCGCGTCCCTTTATTACGCTATGGCCATGCTAAAATTCCAAAAATATTCCTTCTGCTTGCACAGAGGTTCCACTAATGTCAGAAGATCAGATCTCTTCCACCTCTTGGGGTTACTCCTTCACCGGTGTTGAGTGGGAAGTCTTTCCTGCAATGTGATACTATGACGATACTAGCAAATACTCCCTTTCTTTGGTGGTTGGCTGGTTTGTTCTGAACAATGAAGTCACTGTGTGGAAGCATTGCTAAGTTAAATGACCACTGTTTGGTTTTGTGGGAGGGGAAAGAGTTAAAAATACACAACTGCATCAAACCATTATCTAACCCAGTGTTTCCCAAACTTGACTATCCAGCTATTTTTGGACTACAGTTCCCATCATCCCTAACCATTGGTCCTGCTAGCTAGGGATGATGGGAGTTGTAGTCCAAAACCAGCTGGGAGACACAAGTTTGGGAAACACTGATCCAACAGATAGACCCAAGGTGGCAAACCTCCAGCCCCCAAGCAAACCTTGGTCCACCAGGTGTTCCAATTTGGCCTGCAAGGGCATTTACTATACCCACTTGTCACTTAACTGACATCAGCTAACTGATGCCAGCTCATGGACAGGGGGGCAGAGTTCAACTCTGCCTTGGCTGCGTGAACAGGTGTTTTCAGCCAAAGCAGGGTTTAGTGGGGGCACTAAAGCCTGCTCAGTTTGACTGTGCACACGTCTTCCTTACTGGGAAAAGACTCCCGGTTTTTACAGGTCTCAAGTGCGAGAGAGACTTATTCCACCACGCTTGCAAACTGCACCTCTCATGCGATGGGGAGGGGAGAAAGAAAGTTTCCTTTTGCAAGCATTAGTGGAATGTGGGAGAAGTCCCTCCTGCAGCTTATACCTGTAAAAAAAGGGGCACCTTGCTCAAGGATGAGGGAAGCAGTTTCCTGCAGTCCTTGTAAAGGAAGAGTTAGGAGACACACCCCCCCGAGCTACAAGTACCCTTAATAAAGTACAGTTCCTCAGATCCTATGGGGGAAGCCATGACCATTAAAGTACTTTAAATATATGGTCTAGGTGTGAACCTAGTCACTCTGCCCCTCATGTCAAAGACTTTTAGCACAGGATCCTCCTCCTCGTTAGACTGAGAAACTAGCAAGCAAATGTGGCTATTTTTTAACGTCTGTCTGCTGAGAAACTGATGTTTGTTTCCCCCTTTGCAGGTTGTTGCGTACCACTACTGCCAGGCTGATAATGCCTACACTTGCCTTGTGCCAGAATTTGTACACAACGTGGCAGCCTTGCTCTGCCGCTCCCCACAGTTTGCTGCCTACAGAGAGCAGCTGTTACGGGAGCCCCATCTACAGAGCATGCTCAGCTTGCGGTCCTGTGTTCAGGATCCCTTAGCTTCTTTCCGGAGAGGAGTTCTGGAGCCCTTGGAAAGCCTTCATAAAGGTAGTGAAAAGCAAGAGTTTACCTTGATAGCAACGCACGACTGCGGCTTCATTTTAAAAGCACAAGCTGAACCTTTCTGTCCATATCTTTCTCCCACCTCCCTATTCCCAAACTCTCAGAACGAAAGATCCCCGATGAAGATTTCATCATATTAATTGATGGGTTAAATGAAGCTGAATTTCACAAGCCTGACTATGGGGATACAATAGTATCATTCCTCAGCAAAATGATAGGGAAATTTCCATCCTGGCTGAAGCTGATTGTGACAGTCAGAACAAGTTTACAGGTAGGTTGGGGACTAGTTTTTCCACTGTTCTGTTATGATAATTGCTTTTCTCTGAATGGAAGCAGACACCTTACGTGGCCTCTGCTGTGATGGGGCTATCTGTTTGGAAGCAGATGATTCATGCACAGTTTGCAAGGCATATGCACTGGTTGGGAGGAAATTTGGGACGCACAAATGTTTATTAACCACTGCAACCTTACGGTATTAAGGTAGCTGTCTTGTTTAATATTACCCTGACAATTTCTAACTAAGAGAGAAAATAGGCAGCCACCTTCATTGTCTACAGCTGCAAATAGAATTAGTTCACTTACTAAAGCTGAAACGTTGACTTCTTAGGAAATAAAAACTGTTACAGTTCAAAGGAAGATGATGTTTCCAACCAGTATTTTAAGAAGGCAAGGCCACAGTTAGGTGCACCCAGCTGGACTTCCGGTCTTTTCTCATTGTGCCTCTACATGAACTGCTTTTGAAACTCCTCCAGCTTTCAAGAGTACATTGAATGCAATGGAGAAGATTGATATATTAAAAAGAAGTAAATCCCCCCCTCCCTGACATTGTGGTTAATCCTATGATTCTATGAATTGTTCCCAAGACCAAAACAATAATGGCAGTCAGTCATTTGCAGCTGCTACATTTGGATAATGAAAGTACATCTACCCACCTGCTGGTTTACTGATGAATGGTTTGACTTCTTTAAAAAATGGACTTTTTCAGCAGCAGCAGCAGATTTCCCCCCCCCTCTTCATTTTTTAAAAAATAGTTTTTAACGAAAGTGCACTTGTCACCTTTGAGACTAGTAAATTTATAGTGGTGTGGATATTTATAGACAACATAACATGCGTAAATATGATGGAAAAGGTGATAGAAGAGTTAAAGTACAAAGGAGGATAAAATACCTTCATATGGCTATCAGGGGCATAAAATATTAATAGATCACATTGCTAGAACATCTGCTTGAGTTTTTAAAAAGTGCTGGAGCACTGGACTTGCAAATGGAATGTGTAACTTAGGGGAATACAGTTTTCTCAGTGAGAACCACCTGTAATCTTCAAACCTTGAGAAGCAAAAACATTTATTAGTTGATTCTAACACTGGCTTAGAATAGCGCTGAACACTTGACACCTTTCCTTCCAGCCAAGGTTCTCACATTGTTATGGCAGAAAAACAGGTGGGAAACATAAGCACAACTCTATTGCTACTTCTAATCATGCCTTTCACTGTGGTTCCCATACCTTGGACTCCACCCAGTGTGTTGTTCCATCTTTACTTTAAAAGTGCTGATTCCAGCCTCATTCCAAGGAGAAAGCCCATTTTTATTTATTATTACTATTTAAATTTATATCCCATCCTTCCTCCCTGAGGGGGATTCTCTTTTCTATCCATTGCTGTGCACATCAAAATCCTGTTCTTTTAAAAAGATGGAAGAGTAGCACTAAAGACATCTACACCTTTGGAGATCATGCTTCTCTTGGGCTCTTCTGCGGGGGAATCAGACCTCTGGCTTCTGAAAAGAAGACTGATGAACCAAGATGAAAATACAGAATGATAATGATGGCGTGACATGGGTGCCCCATAAAAAAGTGAATGAACAAAACATGGCAGTTTCACACTAAACTGCTAGTGTAGAAGCACCCTAGGTCAGTATATAAAGGGCAATAACAGACCAGAAACAAATCTGTAGAAACTGTTGATTCCATTGTCCCTTTGCTCTCTTGGTTGTGGTTTTGAAAGGCAGTTTGGAAATTTAGCTTTGTGTTTATTTCAAAGTCAGTTTAACTGTACCACCCAGGTTTAACAAGTGGTGTAACCTCATTTGGAGCCAGTATGACAGCATGTTTGGCCTATAACTCATAACTATGTGTGCCAATATTTATACTTCCAGTGGGAGACTGATTGTATTTCTCCCATTTTTAACTTCTCCATTATTTACTTTATTCTTTTTTTTTCCTTATAGGAAATAATTAAGTTATTACCCTTCCATAGGATATTCCTGGACAGACTGGAAGAGAATGAAGCTATAGATCAGGATCTCCAAGCCTACATCCTACACCGAATACATAGCAGCTCTGAGATACAGAATAACATCTCTCTTAATGGCAAAATGGACAATACAACCTTTGGCAAACTTAGTTCTCATCTCAAAACCCTGAGTCAAGGATCCTACTTGTACCTTAAGCTCACATTTGATCTAATAGAGAAGGGCTATTTGGTGTTAAAAAGCTCTAGCTATAAGGTAGTCCCCGTCTCCCTTTCGGAGGTGTACCTGCTTCAGTGCAATATGAAGTTTCCAACACAGTCTTCCTTTGACCGGGTGATGCCACTCTTAAACGTGGCTGTGGCATCTCTGCACCCCTTGACCGATGAGCATATTTTCCAGGCCATCAATGCAGGAAGCATTGAAGGTTCCTTGGAATGGGAGGACTTTCAGCAAAGGATGGAGAACCTCTCCATGTTCCTTATCAAGCGCAGAGATATGACCCGAATGTTTGTCCATCCATCTTTTCGAGAGTGGCTGATCTGGAGAGAAGAAGGAGAAAAAACCAAGTTCCTCTGTGACCCTAGGTAAGTAACCCATCACCTTGTGACAGGAGAAGACAGATATGAGATCACTTCATTTTTCATTAATATACCTCTGTGTAGTGCTAGTGAGATGCGGCTAAAAAGATGGTCCATTTACAATAGGAAGAGAACCAACTGGGTGTGTGTGTTATTGGGTTGATGTTGTTTTTATTTTGATTATGTATTTTGTGGTTTTATATTCTGATTTTCTTCTGTAAACCGCTCTGAGACCTGCAGGTATAGAGTAGTAGTAGTAGTAACAACAACAACAACATCAACTTATTACTTATACCCCACTCCTCCCCACTCTGGGTGGCTTCCAACAAGAGATTTAAAAACATTAAAACATCAGTCATTAAAAACTGATATCTTCTAATGTCAGATAGTTGTTTATTCCTTTGATGTCTCAACTAGGGCCAGGGCCTTTTCAGTACTGGCCCTGACTTGGTTGAACTCTCTGTCACAAGAGACTAGGGCCCTGCGGGACTTGACATCTTTCCGCAGGGCCTGCAAGACAGAGCTGTTCCGCCTGGCCTTTGGTTTGGACTCAGTCTAACCCTTATGTTTCCCTCCCCTTATGGTTTTGATAACCTGTATTTTAAATTGGTTTCTCTCCCCCCCCCCCCAATTATGTTTTTATTGTAATTTTACTGGTGTTAGCCGTCCTGAGCCCAGCTCTGGCTGGGAAGAGCGGGATAAAAATAAATTATTATTATTATTATTATTATTATTATTATTATTATTATTATTATCTGACGGGAGGGCATTCCACAGGGCGGGTGCCACTACCAAGGAGGCCCTCTGCCTGGTTTCCTGTAACTTTGCTTCTCGCAGTGAGGGAACCACCAGAAAGCCCTCGGCACTGGACCTCGGTGTCTGGGCAGAACGATTGAGGTGGAGACGCTCCTTCAGGTATACTGGGCCAAGGCCGTTTAAGGCTTTAAAGGTCAGCACCAACACTTTGAATTGTGCTCGGAAACATACTGGGAGCCAATGTAGGTCTTTGAAGAGTGGTATCTATATTCAGCAAATAGCAACAACAACACTAAGATAATCATTCTCTGATCACTCTATTTATGGAAGTCTGTGAAGGAGTATCAAAAGGTTGGTGATGTTTGAGGGCATACACCTTTGTGTTTCCTTGGATGTGACTAAGGAATATGATCACGTGTCAAGATCCTTAATGATTATTCATTGTATTTATTTTTGAGTCAATACCTCCACATTTAACTTGATGTTAGAATTTGCTTTGACTCTGCTTAATGATGGTGATGATGATGATAAGCATTTTGGTGTTCAAAGAGTTTTATGTACATTTTGCTGTTGTAATCTTTACAGAACAAAAAGGAGAACAGGCTCTGGTATTCACTCATGCACAACTCTTTATTGTAGCTCAAAATGTTTCAGAATATAAAACTCCTTCAGGAGCTTGAACAAAGCTAGAAGGTTCTTAAAATACCCTGTTCTTAAAATCTTGAAAGCTCAAGAACCATCTTGAAAAAATGGTAGAGCCAAATGTTTATTGTCTCGAGATCAGTTGAACGTAGATCTGGAGGGCTTTACAGATGGAAGAAAACTTGTAGGGGGAAGCTAACAGTTTGAAAGACAGGAATAGAATTCAAAATGACCTCAATAGAATGGGAAACTGGGCCAAAATTGGCAAAATGAAATCAACATAGACAAATGCAAAGTTATGCATTTAGCCAAAACAACATAACTAATTGAATGCACAGGTATAAGATGGGGGCCACCTGGCTTGGCAGTAGTAGATGTGAAAGAGATCTGGAGACTGTAGTCAACCGTAAGCCAAATAGGAGTCAGCAGTGAGTTTTCAGCTGAAAAAAACCCCTGAATATGATTTTAGGTTGCATTAATAAAACCATCTTTTGCAGCCTTCCAAAAACTGCTGCTCCTGCCCTGAACTGGATTCCACTCGTTATTAGTGACTTCATTCTCTACAGAACCCACTTGCTAATGCAGCAATGTGTCTACTGAGAAATAGCAGAAAGGCAATGGAGTGCAAGGCTCTGGGCCAGAGAACTGCATGTCCAAGGGTCAAAACTCCTCAGCAAAGGAACAGAGCTTCGGGGGCGGGTTGGGGAATAGTCAGGCACAGGGGGTATATAAGGGCTCCATAGGGACTAAGCACTTGTCTGAACAAGTCATCTATGATCTGTCCAGGGTGCTGAAAGTCCTGTCTGTGACTGCCTTTGCTGTCCAGTGGTTCCTGACCTTGAATGGGACATCTGCATGGTTTTTGTGCCTGCATTCACCTCAGTTCAAACCAGTTTACTGGACAAGCTTCTTCCCAACACTACCATGGTCTCAGCCACATCTGAAGTGGACATGACTCCTCCGTAGTGAAGTATCTTTAAAGTTCTATCAATAAGATAGATTCATAAGTTTGCTTCCTCTCCCCTTGCAAGAAAAGAAAAATGCTCTGCTTCAACCTCCACCTGCTCTATGACTGCAGAAACAAAGGGAAGCATTCCCTGGCCTTTTACCACCACTGACAACTCCAAGGGCACCTGGGAGGCTGCACCCAGCCTCACTGGAAGAACTTTGTGACAAGTATGAGACCAATCTGGCCCCATTCACTGGCTATTGAAGCAACAGCCGCTGCAATGCTTGCTTTTCTCTTCCATTCCTTTTTCCTTTTGCATCATGTTTGTAAGCCTATATTAAAAGCCTTATGATTATGATTTACAAGGATTATTGTTATTTAACCATATAATCTCTGATAATCTTAACAGAAATATTAAATTATGAGACTTCTTTGATTGCAGGTAGCCAAAAATTGTAACGTTAAAAAGGCATACCGTAAACTGCCCTGTGATTCTCAGATGAAGGGTGGTATAGAAATTTTAATAATAGTAATAGTAATAATAATAATAATAATAAATAATAAATAATAATAATAGCCAGTCACTGCAGCTTTAAACGCAAGTCCCAGCCTGGAAGCATGAGTAGTGGTGGTTGATTGATTCTGTCTGCTATCTTAAAAATAGATTCTTGTGGCACTTGCCTTGATTTCATTGGTTGAGCTCTTCAAAGGGGTGAACTAGATGGATTTTATAGTCACTAAGTTCCCCTTCTTCAATAGGGCACATGCAGAAAGAAACCGCTACTGCTTCCAGCTCCAGAAAATAGGTATTGCCCACAGCAGTGGGTAAGAATTATTATTATTATTATTATTATTAGTCTGTTTATATCCTGCTGTTCTATTAAAAGTACTCACTCAGAATAGAATCCATCATTAAGTGTAGCTTCCTACAAGAAGGGGTCACCTCAGACTTTGAAAGATCTTTGCTTCTAATATCTTTCCTCTATGTTAGTTCTCCTAGAGAGAGAGGAATGAGCTACAGTGCTATCTAGTAGTTCAGCAAAGGTTTGATCAAAGCTGATGAACAATTAAGGACAACGTGGTCCTGATGTGCATCAGAGTACAACTAACAAGGGTTATGAGGAGGAGGGATAAAAGGTTTATCTCCTTCATTTCCCAATCTGAGTGCTAACTGTCAAAAGATACATTGGAGTTAGAATTCTAACTTCCTCCATGTTTCTTCTTTTCTCTTTTGCCTAGGAGTGGCCATACATTGCTCGCCTTCTGGTTTTCCCGTCAAGAGGGGAAACTCAACAGACAGCAGACTATTGAGCTGGGCCATCATGTTCTTAAAGCACACATCTTTAAGGTAACAAAAAATTGTGCAGTGATATCTTCACTTTGGATTTGAATGACGTGGTACTGGTGTTTTCAGAGTACATAAAGAATGTTAAGTTTCTGAGATCCTCACTAGGACCTAGCCTGGTCAGCCACAAATTGTGGTGAAGGCCAAGGCCCTGTCCTCAGGTATCCTCAAAACAGGAGGAATAAGTTATGTGAGGACGCTGTCTCACAACAGCCATCCATGATTTTCTGCTGCTACCAGACAGCTGATTCAGCAGAAGGTGACCAAGGGTGAGGAAGAGGAGGCGAAAGAAAGGTTCTTCATTCAGCTTCATGGACCTCTTCAACCTTTTCTTTCCAGTTTTGGGAGAGAGAGGGGAAATAAGAGAGAAGGTCTCTCTCTCCCTTAGATCTTAGGGTAAGCAGCTGGCAGGAGGAAGATATTGGTGCCCCCAAAGGGAACTGAATTTGGCCTGGAACTGCTCGTTAGTGACCTCCACCCTCCCTAGATCTGTATCATTATCCCATTCTTCTCATACCAAACACGGCCTATTGATCGGAAATTAATTCCTTTGATCGGAAGTGAAAGCCCTTTGGCATGAGTAGCTTTAAATCCCTGAACACTAAGGAATGTTTGAGAAGTAATAATTAATTAATTAAGTAATTAGAGGTCCCATTAGCAGTCTTGATTTCTGTATGAGAAGTACTAAGTAGTAACATCAAGCAGAGTATGTTCTAGTCTAGCTTAGGATTTTCCATTTTCTGAGTCAAAAGATTGCTCAGTGCTGCAACCAACTTGCTAAGAGCACCTTAGGAACAGTCACTGTTAATTGTAAGCCCCATGTCTTGACATACTGTCCCAAGGAATATGACTTACAGTGTGCAAGTTTTATTTTTGGAGGGGGCTGTAGACAAGAGCTTGGCTGACCTTACCAAGAAAGGTTCCTAAAAGAATCCTTGGGAGGAAATGGAGTATTAGATTGCATTGCCTTTTTCAAAAAAGTTAGGCTATTTATGATAATGATTCTTTTAGAATAAATGTTCTTTATTCAGCACTGGCTCACCTCTTTCTTTGATTCTTCTATTTTTTGTTGTGTCTTTTTGCTAGTACTTGTAGTATACAGCCCACTAGATGTAGGGCAAAGGGATTACATCACTTCTCTCCCTTTCATGATGGAATGTTGCACCTTGTACCCAAGAGTTCCTACTCATGTGATTTGGTTGGAGGTTGGGGTTGTTATTTGAAATGTGGTAGACTTCAGAGCATTTACAAAAGAGTAACTCTTTGGTGCTCTGACGTAACTTGCACCGAGTAGTAGGACTTAATCCTTGGAGTTGCGTCCTCTCCAGCACTCCTACTTTCTCTTTAGAATACAATATTCTTGTAACGTTGACATTGAATCCTTGCTAGTCAATTGGGGTTAAATGAGCCGTGTGTTAGTGATGTGTAAAAAAAAACACCAGTACCTTGAATTATCAAATTTAAAGTGTGTCTTTTGCAGGGACTGAGTAAAAAAGTTGGGGTTTCCTCCTCAATTCTCCAAGGGCTTTGGATTTCCTACAGCTCGGAAGGTCTTTCCATGGCGCTGGCCTCTCTGCGGAATTTGTACACCCCTAACATAAAGGTACGAGAGGGGAATAATTTTTATTGAGACTATGGCAGGCAAGGGAAAGTATTAAGTTTTTCTTCCTTCTCATGGTGGGGTGGGGCTACAGCTGTTGTTTACATCTTTTATAATGTGCATGTTAATTGATGTAATGTCACATCTAATTCCACCTTTGGTCAACTTTGACCCTTCTTCACATCTGTACAACCCCTTGGGCAGCCTCCTAAAATGTCTCTCTCCATTCTTCCCATTCAGTAAGAATTTCGACTTCTCTTTCTATCACTGCCTGCTCTTTTCAGCTTTCATTTTATTTCCAAATGATATTTAAAATGCAGAGAAAATGTAACGTCTATTCTAAATAGGCTTGGAGTTATAAGGCAGCATACTTCCAGGTACCAGGTGTTTGGGACAGACAACAGGTTTTCCTTGATTATGGGCTTTTGAGACGCATCTGGTTGACTCTTGCCTGGTAGATATCAAGGCAGATTGGGTTTTTTGTTTTGCTTTAGAACATTTCTGTAGCGCTCTTCAATTTGAAATGCAAGTATTGTTCGTAAAATAGCATTAAAACGCATTTAAAAATAAAGGAATACCGTATTTTTCAGTCTATAAGATGCCCCCTATTTTGGGGGTCTCAGATTTAAGAAAATGGGGGGAATGGCCCTGTGTATAAGGTGCCCCTTCATTTTTTACATTATTTTTTAGGGGGGGGGAACCTAGTCTTATACATGAAAAAATACAGTAATTATTGGCAGCACCATACATTAAAAGAGGTAGCAAAACAAAATATTAGTACTTAGATTGTAATGTTGAAGATTAAAGGAACTTAATATGAATCTTAATATCAAAATTCATTTCTAGATCCATTGACAGATGTTTTCATCCTTTTCCCTGCTACAACCATAAAAAATCTGACTCTAACCCAGTAATTTCCAAACAGTGTGCTGGGGCACACTAGTGACATCTGAGCTAATCACAAATGAGTTGTAAACGTAAATAAAATAATTGAGGATCTGAACGTGCTTCCTTCTAATCGCTATCCTCAGAGGGCAGGTAATTCTGCACTCTGTCTGCATCTGATTGACTTAGTCATACCTGCTGCAAATGAACACCAGAATTCCTTAACCTCAAAAAAAAGAGCGCCTACTGCATCTCAGCTTGAGTCACAGCTTTGAGAACAATTCCTCCCAGTCAAAAATAGCATCAAGGTACACAGAAACACACTAGTGCATTGGAAAGCACATTCAGTGGTGATCTCTGGAGAGTGTGTGCTTAGGGAGGCAACATCAGAGCATTATTGGAAGTTCCAGAAAGTAAGAAATTGTTCTGTCACTGGAAATAACCTTGCCTACCATAGAATGTCAATGAGTTTGGTAAGACGCTGGTGACTTAAAAGGAAAAAGGAGCATGATGATCACCAAATTTTTATTTGGATTGGAATTTAGCCAATGTACCAAGAAGGAAGTTCTCTTTCTCTCTCCCACACCAGAAAAAAAGATTTTGCAACATTCAAGGTGCTGGAAAGAGGACAGGGGAAGTAGAAAGAGAGAGAGAGAGAGAGAGAGAGAGAGAGAGAGAGAGAGAGAGAGAGAGGACGAAACGTCTACCCCCTTGTTAGTGCCAGAGGACAGCGGAATGTGGGGAGCGGAGACGGCAGTAGCAAATTTAGAACTCTTATGGGAAAAAACTAACATTTCCCTGTGTATTCTCTGCTTTGGCTAAGAATTGCTAGACAAATCAAGCTTGTGGCCGGGGAGGGAAGCTGCTAATCTCTAGTACACGAAACTCTTTCGCTCCGTTTTTAATTGAGAAAATTGGCTTGTTTAGAGAGTGCTGATCTCATCCGTTCCCATTTCTTTCTGTTCAGGTCAGTCGGCTACTGATCTTAGGAGGCGCCAACATCAATTACAGAACTGAAGTTCTAAACAATGCCCCAATTTTATGCGTCCAGTCTCACCTTGGTTACACGGAGATGGTAGCTTTGCTGTTGGAATTTGGAGCAAATGTTGATGCCTCTTCGGAAAGTGGCCTAACGTCTCTTGGATATGCTGCTGCTGCTGGGTACCTAAGCATTGTTGCCCTTTTGTGCAAGAAGCGAGCGAAGGTGAGGAATGTGGCTGTCCTGTTCTCAAACCTGAGCAAACAAGCCACGCGTGGACCGCCCATGTCCCGTAGACTCCAGTCCTAATTGTTTGCATGCTTGTAGCTGTGTCTTCTAGCTACTCTCCGGGGTAGTTACACTAGCAAGAGCACGAGCAACAATTTCATTTCTGTTTCTTCATAAATGTACTCCACAATCTTCACTGGTATTGCGGTCTGCAACTAAAATCCCAAAGCAGTTCATTGGCAATTCGGGTTTGGGTAAGGATGTTGCTGAACTATTGAAGGGATAGGGTGCTAATCTTGTTTGTCTCGATGTTTAAAGTTCTCCTGTTTTAATTTGCTATCACTCAGATTCAGAAAGCAAAGCTAGAGTTCATAATCTAGTTTTGCACAAACATGGTAAATGCCAGCTGTTGGAGAATATGCCTTTTCCCTTTTTACATGGCACTTCGCACCAAGTGAGTAGGAGTAGCCAATATCCCTAGGATGGTATTCCAGAATCTAATACATCATGAAGCGTATCCTGGCAAAACCAGGAACTTGAATGTAACATGGATTAGGGATATGATTTAACTATTTGTTCAGGAACATGTCTTTTTAATTGTCATACCTGTCTTCATAATAAAGATGGCTAGAAACTTGTTTTCATTTTAGGTTAAGATTAACTCTTTCAGGCTCCTGAATGTTGTAAAAGTTCCTGAAGGTGGTCCTCAGACAAAGACTTTTCTCTTTACCTGGGCTTTTGGCCCTTAAATTGAAGGGGGGGGGTCATTGTGGCCTTTTTTAATGGGGCAGGATTTGTTCATCCCACCTTCTAATTGTATAGCTCTGTTTTTAGGAGGTTTTGTTGTTTTTAATGTGAGTTGTTTTTGCTCACTCTGTAAGAATATAACTATAACATAATACATAAATATAAACCAGAACAACAATAGTCTTTGGCAGATTCTTCGCTTCTAGTATGGTCCATTTTGGCTAACCTCAGAAAACATCCAGGAACCAACACCTCTCCAGGAGCCTAAAATTTTACGCTGTCTCACTAACCAGCTCAATGCTTTAGGTGACATTTGTGCTCTATAAGATCACTATGTCATTCTGTCTTGTTGCCGAATGACAGTGTTTGCTTCTAGAGAGCTACTGTGGTTTTCAGTGAACATTTGTGTTTCCCAAAAGTAACAGCAAAACGTTCACTGAAAACCACAGGTAGCTCTCTAGAAGCAAACACTGTCATTCGGTAACAAGACAGAATGGCATCTAATTCCCGAATTAGATGTAAACAATAGATTTCTTCAGACCAACTTTGCTTATTGGAGTGGGACTTGGTAGATTTTACCAAATGGGGGAATGTAGCAAAGAGGTTTGCAGATCACTGCCGGTGCACATAGCAATTGTGTGTTGCAAGATTTGTCCTGAGTTTATATTCTAAACTCCATTTTGAATGTCATTGCTCCTTGCAGATGAAATCTGTGAGAGTGGTTTGTGCTGCATGTGAATAATGTACTTGTGGACACAGAATACAGTTGTCATTACAAAACTGGCTAGCTCTGCATATATGGCCAGAGAAACATGGAGAATATTTCCCATGTGAATGTGGCAGTGTTAGAAACACACAGCAGTTAAGTTAAATTTTAATCAGCCATTTTTTCCTTTTCTTGAAAAGGTGGATCACTTGGACAAGAACGGTCAGTGTGCACTGGTTCATGCAGCTCTCAGAGGCCACCTGGAAGTTGTCAAGTTTTTAATCCAGTGCGACTGGACAATTGCTGGGCAACAGCAGGGAGTGTTTAAGAAGAGCCAAGCTATCCAGCAGGCACTGATTGCTGCTGCCAGCATGGGATACACCGAGGTAAGTTGTCGCTCAGCCTTGTTGAATCCTCACTGGCCAAGCGGCCTTTGTGTTAAGGCAAAATACTGAGTAACTGTTTTTAAAGCTTGAAGTGCGAGGGAGGGTTATGCAGTTGCTATGGGAGCCTAGGTACGCCTTTGCATGCAGCGAACCTTTCTGACCATCAAGTGGCTTGAGGGAAGTCACCACACCTATAGCTCTGCAGCCAAAAGCTGTGGACCATCTACTGACTTCTTGTTGTTTAAAATAATTTGCTTGCCTCTCCTGTACTAGAAATGACATACAAGGTGGCTAACAACAAATCATTAAGTAGCATAAAAACAACTGCAAGAAAAGCAAGAAATGATAGAAAATCAAAATTACGGTTTACCAATAAATTGCAGATAAAACATTTCAGGCAAATTATACAAATTGAAGCAATTCCAGCAGCCCATACCATACAGAAACAATGACCGGGAGAAATTAATGTGAAATAGAACAAGGAAACGAACAAAATATGAAAAGCCTGAATAAGTAGGATAGAATTCTCCTAGTATCTAAAAGAAAATTAATGTGGCTCTTCTGTGGGCTCAAGTTCCATAGACAGGGTGCAACCACAGAAAAAGTCTTCTCTTAGGTACATGAGAGCATAAGAATAGTACGCTGGATCAGGCCAATGGCCCATCTAATTCAGCATCCTAGGCTCACAGTGGCCAACCAGATAGAACATGAGCATAAGAGCACTCTCCCTTACCATTGCTGCCTCCGACTGTGGAGGCAAACCATAGCCATCATGGTGCAATAACCACACATCTAACCTCTGATGCACCTGGGGAAATGTTATCAGGCAGGCTTAAGTGGGAACAGGCAGTCCTTAAGGACTGTGTTGTCTCATTAGCTGGGGTAGAGGGTGGGGAACTTCTTTCAGCCCAAAGGCCACTTTCCCTCACAGCCAACCTTCTAGGGCTTCAAAGGTCAAAGGAAAACATAGTTGTCCTGTACAGAACTAGCTCAGGTCTAAGAAGTTTCAAAGTCAGCCGGAAACATTATACACTCTTAATATAATATCCAGTAATTAGTCTGGATGTTCACACATGGATAACTGATGGCACAGTTAGTATACTGTATTTACTCGAGTCTAACGCGCCATCGAATCTAATCCACACCTCAATTTTCAAAACCTTGAAACCAAAAAAAGAATTTGCTGGTGAATGTAAATGTGCCGTCGAATCTAATGCGCACCTTAATTTTCGCAACACAATTTGGCCAAAAAATGGGAGCGTTTGGTTCGAATAAATACGGTACTAACAATCGTTGAATGTAGGCTAGAATTTTGGATGTATAGTGGACCCCTTTAGTACATCAGGTTCCTCATGAATCTTCCCTTGCGGGGTTTTTTAAGGTTATTAAGTGTATTTAAAAAACAAAACAAAAACAAACCATTGTGACTTGTTTGTTTAGTTGGATACTGTTTAAGATTTATGTCCTGATACTGTGTGCTATCTTCTAAAGGTGTTTCCAAAAACAAATAAATAAATAAATAAATAGATTATGGTGGGGGTGATGGTGTGTGTTTTTGTTGTAAAGGCAGATAATTATTTTAATAGGGCTGGGGAGTATATTTCCTTTGTGCCTGGGAAAGTGCCTGATAGGGAATTTGTTCACTCTGTTTCCATTTGTTTTGTTCAAAGCAGTTACAGCTTCAGATTATCAGCAGCTTATTTTTAGACACGCAGAGAGTTCAGAAACTGACAGATTTCTTTGTTTTTAGATTGTCTCCTACCTGCTTGATCTTCCAGAAAAAGATGAGGAGGAGGTAGAACGAGCACAGATCAACAGCTTTGACAGTCTCTGGGGAGAGACAGGTAAATTCTGTAGACTGCTTATGGCTCCCCTTGCATCCGTTGAATACATGTGTGATGTGCTGAAAGAGATTGGCTATCCTCTGGGAAATTCACAGCAGTGCCAACATAAACCTCTGTCCCTTAATTTTCAGGGTGTTGAGAATCGGTTGTTCCTTCTGAGTTTAAGGAGGAAAAGCTTATAAATATTTTATTTATTTCAATATTTATAGGCCGCACATGAATAAAATTACAGCAAGGCAATATGCATAAGAACGTGACATCCCAGTAAGAGCAGTAAAAACATCAATTAATAAATACTGCTTGCTAAAAGAAATTCACCTCTCGGCAGCTTGTCTGAATAACACAGTTTTCAGGAGATGTCTAAAAGAAGGCAGGGACAATTCTTGCTCAACCTCTACCAGCTCAGTCTCTAGTAAAATCCAGCTGAAGTGGCCCATCAGAGGGTGCCAGTGATCATGCTGGAAAATATGGAGTCAGGAATTACCGTATTTTTCGCTCTATAAGACACACTTTTTCCCCTCCAAAAATTAAGGGGAAATGTGTGTGCGTCTTATGGAGCGAATGCAGGCTCCTTGGCTTCAGCGATAGCAACGCGAAGCCTCCAAAGCACAGAGGGAGCGCTCCCTTTGGAGGCTTCGTGTTGCTTTCGCTGAAGCCTGGAGAGCGTGAGGGGTCGGTGCGCACCGAGGCTTCAGGGATAGCCGCCTGAAGCCTCTGGAGCGCAGCGGGAAGTCCTGCTGCACTCCAGAGGCTTCGGGTTCATTTTGCTGAAGCCAGGAGAGCAAGACTCCTGGTTTCAGGGATAGCTGCCTAAAGCCTCCTGAAGCCTGAAGCCAGAGGCTTCGGGTTGCTTCGCTGAAGCCAGGAGAGCCAGAGGGATCGGTGCGCACTGATCCCTCTGGCTCTCCTGGCTTCGCTTTGCTGGAGAGGCGCTGCACAGCTTTCCCTCTCTGCGCAGCGCCCCTTCAGCGAAGCGGGAGGAGAAATGGAAGGGGTTCTGTTTCTCCTGCCGCTTCGCTGAAGGGGCGCTGAGCAGAGAGGGGGAGAATTTTTTTTCTTGTTCTCCCCCTCTAAAACAAGGTGCGTCCTATGGTCGCGTGCGTCCTATAGAGCGAAAAATACGGTAACGCAGGAACCTTGAACCTGTCTTGGTAGTGAATTGGCAGCCAGTGCGGCTCTCTTAGCAGAGCAGTAACATGTTGCAAGTAACCTGCTCCTCTGAAGTGGACCTGCCACTGCGTTCTGCCCTAGTTGCCGCTTCAGGACCAGATGCAAGGGCAGCCCCACGTAAAGCATATTACAGTAATCAAGCCCCTTGAGGTTACCAGTGCATGGACCTCTGAGGCCAGACCTTCTCAGGCCAAGAATGGTTGCAAGTGGCATATCAGCCAAAGCTCATACAAGTCAGTGAGATGACATGGGCCTCTAATGAAAAAGACAGATCAATGAGTACCCCCAAGCTGTGAACCTGCTTTTCAGAGGGAAAAGCAGAACGGTCCATCCCATTTTAACGGAATTCTCATTGTATGGTCTTATCTGATTTTTATTTCATTGTATTGTATTCCTTGAGCACCACTTAGAGACTGTTGTAATTAAAGGCATATAAATTGAAATAAAAAACAAGATGAACCACTATAACTCCTACTCCTGCAGAAGTTATACTCTGTTGTGCATTTTGCATGCTTGTGGTCAATTGGCTGCCTTGCTTATTTTCATTATCATGTTGTCTTCAAACTGTGCTGCTAAGTTGCATCCTAACCCAGGGATGCTAACATGATAACAAAAGTCAGCCCTTGAATTAGCATTTATTACGTGAGTTTCTGAAGTAAATATCACAGATGGTGCCCTACTCCCCAGTCCTGCTGCTCCCACATTACCGGGGGTGTGTGTGTGTGTGTGTAAATCAGGATCAGACCTTGGTTACAGGTCATGGTTCAGATTTAGAGCTAAGCCAAACCATGGTTTAGTTCTGGGTCGTGTAGCAACAGCAGGACTGAGGAATGAGCACAGCGGCCATTTGCCCTGAGCCATAGTTCGGTTTAGCATTATGTGTGAACCAGGTCAGTGTGTGCTCTTACTTATCTCTGAACAGTGCTGGGTTGGATACTCAAAAGAACATCCTGATAATCCACTACAGCAGGTGCCTCCTTATTTTTGGCAGAGAAATGTGGCATTATAGAAGACAGTTGCTTCATGGCTTCTAATTACTAATTTAAAATAGGTTCATTTTGCACAGCTAGCAGATTCACCTATCTCAATGAACTTCTGAGAGATCTGGATCAGGGTTATTTTACAGAAAATGTTCATTTGCATGGAGAGAGGATTGGTGTGAATGCTTCAAATAGCAGAGAGAGAAGCCAGGCCAGAATATTCAAAGAGGCAAATTTAAGCAGCACAAGACAAAGGACTTGGTCTGCTGGAGAATGGGAGGGCGAGATGGTGGTTGGGAAAGAAATTGCTTTGCCGGCAGTTTATTGTGTCAGTCTGGGAAAGAGCAACTTCAAAAAGTGCTTTCGTCTGTTTTTCAGGGTGAAAGTGTCTCCTCTAACCCAGACAGTACACATTATGCCAGGCACAAGGCACTTCCATGTTACCCAAAACTCTGGAAGTCTTGAGAATGAATGATCGCTTGGTTGTACAGAAAAGTCTTTTGCTGTCTGTGGGCTTTGCCTTGACCTAAGAAAGGACCCAAGTTTGCATTTAGATGGAATCGTGTCTGTCTGATGGTTGCATTACAGGCTTTCCCCTGGTGCACTCTCAAAAGTATTGCAGATGAAAATGCAGGGTTTTGTTTTGTCTTCTTAAAAGCGTCTGTCCAAATTGCATTTTGGGGACCAGGGAGTCAAATCATTCAGTGCTTTGGTTCAGTTTCAGTTGAAATTGAAGTTCTTCGTGCTCAGCCCAATAATTTTAGAAACACATCCAGCATGCCTAATTTAGTTCAGTTCTAATTCACGTGAGAAAATGTTAATGCCATTCACGTGGTGCACATATGAACAGATGACCCATATAATTGTACTGTTCTATATGGTTACTGCATTGGAACTGCCTGCTTAAGAACATGTGCCCTGGGGAATTACTGTGCACTGTACTGCCAGTGATCCTGCACACCTGGCTACTGCAGATGCAGCCTGATGGGAAATTTATTGCTATTACCGTATTTTTCGCACCATAGGGCGCACCGGACCATAGGGCGCACCCAGTTTTTTGGGGGGGAAATAAAGGGGAAAAAATTATTTTCCCCCCAGGCGCGGGCTGGGGAAGCTCGAGCTTCCCCCAACCCCAGCCCCCAAACAGGTAGCTCTCTGCAAGCTGTGGGAGCCCAGCGCTGGCTCCCGCTGCTTGTGGAGAGGTATGCGAAGCCTGGACGCGCTGAGCTCAGCGTGCGCAGGCTTCGGCATGCTGGCAACCCTGCGCAAACAGCGGGAGCGCTCCTGCTGTTTGCGGGGAGGTCCGCGAAGCCTGGACGCGCTGAGCTCAGCGCGCGCACGCTTCGGCATGCTGGCAACCCACCCCTCTCACTCTCCAGGCTTCAGCGAAAGCCTGCATTCGCACCATAGGACGCACACACATTTCCCCTTCATTTTTGGAGGGGGAAAAGTGCGTCCTATGGTGCGAAAAATACGGTATTTTTATTACAAATATTTATTGCTATTATTTTTATTACAAATATTTATTGCTATTATTTTATTACAAATATTTATTGCTATTATTTTATTACAAAGTACCGTATTTTTCGCTCTATAGGATACACTTTTTCTCCTCCAAAAATGAAGGGGAAATGTGTGTGCATCCTATGGAGCAAATGCAGGCTCCTTGGCTTCAGTAAAAGCAATGCGAAGCCTCCAAAGCGCAGAGGGAGTGCTCCCTCCACGCTCCGGAGGCTACGCATTGCTTTCGCTGAAGCCTGGAGAGCGAGAGGGGTCGGTGCGCACCTTGGCTCCTTGGCTTCAGTGAAAGCAATGCGAAGCCTCCAAAGCGCAGAGGGAGCGCTCCTTCCACGCTCCGGAGGCTACGCGTTGCTTTCGTTGAAGCCTGAAGAGCGAGAGGGGTCGATGCGCACCGACCCCTCTCACTCTCCAGGCTTCAGGGATAGCCGCCTGAAGCCTTTGGAGCGCAGCGGGACCTCACGCTGTGTTCCAAAGGCTTTGGGGTTAGCTGCGCAAAGCCTCCGCAGGGCAGCGGGGTGAAGGCATCCCGCTGCCCTGCGGAGGCTTGAAAGGCTGTCCCCGAAGCCAGAACAGAGAGATGGAGTGCTGCGCAGCGTCTCACTGTTCTAGCTTGGGGATGCCGGGGCTTTATGGGGAAACCCCGGGCTTCCCCCTTCAGCCCTGACACTGATTTGATTCAGAATATTTTTTACTTGTTTTCCTCCTCTAAAAACTAGGTGCGTCCTTTGCTCGGGTGCGTCCTATAGAGCGAAAAATACCGTACTTTGTAATAAAAATAATAGCAATAAATATGTGCGTAGATTTATGTACAGGGGTGGGGGGTGCTACCCCAAACAAAGTATTCTCTCTGATAACTTAACCTGGATGTGGAGAATTGAACTTCAGTCTTTCCTCGTCTCTTGTTACTTAACATATAGCAATTACCATGAATGATACAGATTAAAAAACAACCACCCCATTTAATGTGTTTTCTAGTCAGTTAAGCATGTGAAGGGAAGCCGTGGGAGTGAGCACGCTAACTCCATCCTGTCCCCAGTTGAAGGATGATCTTCTGAGTTGGGGAGTTTTCTGTGCTCATAGAGGCTACCCACACCTTTTAGAAACTGGGGAAATGCATGGGGGAGAAGAGACTCTCTGCTTTCCGGATATTACCCTCCAACGTGGAATGGTAGCAAGAGGTGGAATTAGTGTGTTCCTTCCCTTGGCCACTGGATAATGCCTGAAGAGGGCTAAAATCTTTCCAGGGTCTACGCTACCCTTTATCTCTTGGGCAAATCTTGGAAATTGTAACCTAAAGCCTTTTTTTATTTTCAGACCACAATCCTTTTATCATGTTCTTTTTTTAAAAAAGAAGCCTGTAGGCAGGGATTGTTTCCACTTTAGCCATCGCACAGCACTTAGGTGCATACCATGGCTGGAAGTTCATGCAGTAGCAGCAGCGGCAGGCTTTCTTTTATTCTGATTGGTCTTTTCTCTCTTCCAGCCCTGACTGCTGCAGCCGGACGAGGCAAGCTGGATGTTTGCCGTCTGCTTCTGGAGCAGGGAGCAGCTGTAGCCCAGCCCAACCGACGGGGAGTCGTTCCCTTATTCAGTGCTGTTAGACAAGGCCATTGGCAGGTAAGGGGAGTGGGAGGGGGGGAACAGCTGCCGGTCCTTCTCCTAATAAGGTAACAAGTATGTATACAGCTTGGATTTTTGGAACTGCTTCCTGTATCATTTACCGTATTTTTTGCTCTATAAGACGCACCAGACCACAAGATGCATCTAGTTTTTGGAGGAGGAAAACAAGAAAAAAATATATTCTAAATCTCAGAAGCCAGAACAGCAAGAGGGATCGCTACGCAGCGAAAGCAGCAATCCCTCTTGCTGTTCTGGCTTCTGGGATAGCTGCGCAGCCTGCATTTGCTCCATAAGACGCGCACACATTTCCCCTTACTTTTTAGGAGGGAAAAAGTGAGTCTTATAGAGCAAAAAATACGGTACATCACATGGGCCTTTTGGTGGGATATCCTCAACAACGTGAGAGAGGTTTCAACATGTGTCTCCCTATGGTGAAGTCCTGGGAGGATCGCTAATCGATTTTCAATACCTTGGTGTTGCCACAGCATCTTAAAAAATAGATAGTGCCTGTCTGAAGTTTTCTGTATTTTAATTACGGAGGCTTTTAGATGTATCTGAGTTCTTCAGGAATGCAAGATACAAAACAGGGAGCAAGGGAACCAATAACTGTGGCATTCATAGGAATGCAGAAGGAAAGGAGATTGCTTTGACGTACTGCCAAAGAGAGCATTTCATACCAAATGCTCTTCCTCCCTCCTTTAAATGTGTGTGATTCACATGTAAACAGTGCCTAACTCTCATTAGATGAAAGCTTATGGTTCGCAAATGCTGGTGGAGATTTATTGTGCTGGAAGGAACATGTTTTACCCCAAAGGTGTCAAATGTTCCAATTCAAATTTAAGCAATTTTTTCTACATGTAGAAAGCCCCATTAGCCTATTCCAACATAGGCAATTCACTCTTTATCCTCCGTGTAGCCCTTTTGGCTTCTCCCACACACCTCAATAATGTCCCTACATGCTTTTTAGCAGTCCACGATTCCAGTCTGTTCCCACCTAATATTTGATAAATCAGGTGTTCCCTGGTTGGCATTGTGTTTTCTGGTTGGTATGACGGTTGGTAACTCAGACGGTCACTGCATTAATTTAGAAATATGGGGTTGCCAGTGTTTTTTGCAGCAGAGTTACTCCAAGGACAGCCCAGCATGCACAGATATAGATAAAGAAAACATACATTATGAGAGGGACCAGATAGCTCATGGTAAATGACATGGAGGCAGCAGGTGGGAGATCAAATCACCCAGAATCTACCCGAGAGTGTACCTTAGTAACCTATACCATACATTAGCTTATACCATTGGTGGGGAACTTCCATCCCATGGGCTGGGTGCAGCCCCTGTGAACTCTTAATGTGTTCTCCCACCCTCTCACCAAACTCTGTTCTGCTTCCAGAAACTCACTTAGCAGCCTCCATTGAGAATCAACATGGAATATGATGCTATTGAATATGCTGCTATGTCTTTCTCTATTTCTCCACTCTCTCTGCGGTTTTCCCTCTTTCTCCATTCTCATCCATGGTGCAGTTGTACACATGATGCCTTGCTTGAGCGCCTTGGCAATCTCTCTCTCCATCTCTCTCTCTCTCTCTTTTTTCTCTGAGCTTTCCCTGTGCAGCCTCCAATAATTTGGGGTGAGCAGATTTAAACAAGTCTGTACATCTACTGTTGTATGCTGTCTCTCTGGAGGGAAATGGCGGAGGACCTTTTACAGGGAGGGGCTCTAGAGAGACAGCTTGCTCCAGTAAGTAGGTGATGAAAACATGGATCACTTTGGAGGTGCCCCACCCCACCCCGAGGAAGAACATTCAGGCTGCAAAGGTGTCCTTTCAAGGTGTGCTGAGGGTGAGCCAAAGCTGGGCAGAGCCACAGGACCTATTTTCCAAGGAAGCCCAAAACATTTGAATGTTGCAATTTGAAAATCCTAACTGGCCTCCCCTTCCCCAGCAGTAAAAATAACATAATGTATAGTCACTGTGTGTGTGGAGCGAATGTGTGAAGAGAGGCATTTCTGTGAATAGGGTGTGAAGCAGGTGCAGTTGTGAGTGTGAATATGTTGGGTTGAAAAGGATTCTTCACCCCTTGTCTAGAGGAAGGATGTGCAGAACATGCTGAAAACTTCAAATCCATTTTAAATAAAAGTATTTCTTAAATGTAAATCTAATAGATATATGAGGAATGTTTGGAGGTGGACGATTTTGAAAGTACTAGACTTAAGTAGGTGTAGCATAGTGACATTTTAATTGCAAACTGAAACTTGTCGTGAGTACAGAGCGTAGGGGCTTATGCATTTTTTTCATGGCTCTCAAACTGTGCACAATTTGTACTCAATGTATCCTTGCTTTGTATGCTTTCAGATTGTTGATCTCTTGCTCACCCATGGTGCAGATGTTAACATGGCAGATAAACAAGGCCGGACTCCTTTGATGATGGCAGCTTCGGAGGGGCATTTGGGCACTGTAGAGTTCTTACTAGCACAAGGTTAGTTGGGAGTCGTGTTGAGATTAAACCCAAGTATGTGTAAGCAGACTCCAAAATTACTGCGAAGATAGACCTTGAGGTTAGCTTTCCACAAATTTCATACCGTTGGATGAAATCATGCAAGCTAGACTCAAATCCGAATTAGGATGCTGTATACGAATGTTTCATTTACAGTGGAATAGCCTTACTTAGTTGATTGACTTTTTACAGGGTCGAAACTTTGTGAACAAAACGTCCCATGTCATGATTTCCCAGTTCAGGTGCCAATCCCACCCCCAGCTACAGGTTCAGAAAATCTCAGCTCAGCAGAATAACTTTCAGCGTAAATGACCAAAATCATGCTGCTATTCTGGCTGGCCACAACCTATAGAGATTGCACCAGCCGTGTGTTCCTCTATCCTTTGTTTCTTCTCTCTAGGAATCAGATCTATCACGTCATTCTTTTCCAAATGGTATTATTACCTTTATGGTCTGACAAGTAAGCACTTCAGATGTCAGCAAACTAGTTGATGGCAATTTTCCTCCAAAGATATCTGCCCAGCCAGTATATGGAATATTGCAGGGGACATAAGAGTCTCTTAAATAAGGCACACACTTCCATGGAAGAAAAATAATAATTCCAGGAATGAAACTCAAAAGAGGGGCACTGTGAGTTGCAGGTGGGTTTAGCATATTTGGAAATACCCCTAAGCAGTCTTGCTCTGTGTTTTGTTTCCCCCCCAGGATCCTCCATTTCCCTAATGGACAAAGAAGGACTTACTGCCCTCAGCTGGGCTTGCCTAAAGGGACACCTTTCAGTAGTACGAGCTTTGGTGGAGAGTGGAGCTGCCACAGACCATGCCGACAAAAATGGGCGCACTCCATTGGATCTAGCTGCTTTTTATGGTGATGCAGAAGTGGTAAGTGCTTTTTTTTGGGGGGGGGAGAATTCAAATCCAAGAGAGGAGGTTCAGGATGATGTCAAGCTTTGGAAAACCCTTGGCAAACTTAGTTTAATTAAATTTCTATACTGCCCTTCACCTGTAGATCTCAGGGCAGTTCACAACATAAAAATACAAAATAAGAAACACAGAATATATCATAAAAATGAGAACAAAAACAAACCAACGATTCCCTCCTCCGCAACACATTTAAAAGGGCATCAGATGTCAAAAACCCAAAGGCCTTGATGAAGAGGACATTTTTGCTTGGTGCCCAAAAATGTATAATGAAGACACCAGCTGAACCTCCTTGAGGAGAGCATGTCACAAATGGAGAGCCACTGTAGAAAAGGCCCGTTCTCATGTTGCCACCCTCACGAAAGGGGCACATGAAGAAGGGCCTCAGGTGATGAGGGTCTGAGTGGGTTCATATAGAGAAGCGTAATCCTTGCAGTATTGCAGTCCCGAGCTGTTTAGGGCTTTACAGGTCAAAACCATGGAGCTTTCTTGGCAGGGATACTGGAGTGGCTTGCCGGTTCTGACTCCAGGTGGATCACGTTTAGTCAAAACTCTCCACTATGACCTGTCTGTCTTGGGTGGCCCTGCACAGCATAGCTCATAGCCTCCCTGAGTTATTCAAGCCCCTTTGCCACGGCAAGGCAGTTTGACCAAACTGCGGGAGGCAGTGGAAGACAGGAGTGCACTGGTCCATGGGGTCACAAAGAGTCAGACACTACTAAATGATTAAACAACAACAAAAAGGTCAAAACCAGCACTTTGAAACTATTTGGCAGCCAATGTAACTGGGCCAGGATCAGTGTAATATGCTCAAACTGAGCAACCTGGCCGCTAAATTCTACACCAGCTGAAGTTTCCAAACCGTCTTCAGAGGCAGCCCTATGTATAACGCGTTGCAGTAATCTAACCTTGAGGTTACCAGAGCATAGGCAACAGTAGTTAGTCTGTCCCTGCCAGATAGGGGTGCAGCTGGGCCACCAGCCGAAGCAGATGGAAGGCAGTCTGCACCACTGAGGCCACCTGAGCCTCAAGTAACAGCAGAGGCTCCAGAAGTACCCCCACTCCTTCGGAGGAACTGTAACCCCATCAAGAGCAGGCAAAACTCCATCCATCTGATCTACAGGGAACCAGGCAGAGGGCCTTCTCGGTAGTGGCACCCGCCCTGTGGAACGCCCTCCCACCAGATGTCAAAGAGAAAAATAACTACCAAACTTTTAGAAGACATCTGAAGGCAGCCCTGTTTAGTGACGCTTTTAATGTTTAATAGGTTATTGTATTCTAGTGTTTTGTTAGAAGCCGCCCAGAGTGGCGAGGAAAACCCAGCCAGATGGGCGGGGTATAAATAATAAATTATTATTATTATTATTATTATTATTATCATCATCATCATCATCATCATCATCATCTAGGGAACAGCCCACTAACAGTGTCTCAGTCTTATCTGGATGGAGCTTCAGTTTGTTGGCTCTCATCCAGTCCATTACCGTGGCAAGACAAAGATCCAGCACATCTACTGTCTCACCTGCAGATGTAAAGAGGAAGTAGAGCTGTGTGTCATCGGCATATTGCTGACAGCATACTCCAAACCTCCGGATAACTCCACTCAGTGGTTTCATGTAGATGCTAAACAGTATAGGAGATAAAACTGAACCCTGAGGAACCCCACATTGGAGGCTGCATGGGGCTGAAAAGCACTCCCCAAGCGTCCAGCCAAGTAGGACCGGAACCACCGCAAAGCATTGCCACTCACCCCTAACTTGGACAGCTGCTCCAGGAGGATACTGTGGTTAACCACCTTCAAATTCTTATCCTACAGTAGTGGTCAACTTTTTTGGAAAGCACACCGAGGGAGTTTTGCTTCTAATGTACTGATCTGAAAGAAAAAGGAAGAACAGGCCTTAGCCCAACGGTATAGTGTCAGGCGAAAGTAGACATCCCACTTTAACACAATGAAGTCTGCAGCTATTTGCCGTGTGGCATATATGTTCTCTCCGGTATGGCCTGGAGTATGTGGTTGGCATATATGGGTGGTTTTACCTTTGAGCCGGGGGTTGGATCTGATGGCTTTTTGATTCATTCCAGCTCTTAAGTGCCTTCAGGAGTCAAATGAGGTGAAGGAATAAAAATAGTTGCCATTTTAGCTCAGCATCCCACTCTCGGTTCTTTTGAGGTCAAAAACCTGCACTTAATTGCATGATCATAATGCCTTTGACTTCCAGGGTGATGCTTATTTTCATTTGATTGCTTACTTGTAGGTTCAGTTCCTGGTGGATCACGGGTGCCATGATTGAGCATGTGGATTACAGTGGGATGCGCCCCCTCGACAGGGCAGTGGGTTGCCGCAATACTTCTGTTGTTGTCACACTACTGAAGAAAGGAGCCAAGATAGGTAGGGAACAAGTCAAAGAAAAGAAAACCCACCTTGTGAATCTCTCAAGAGCCCTATTTCCTCCCAGGTTGTGCAGACATGCAGCACTCCTATGAAAAAGGCATGTCCGGTTTTGAAAGAATGCTGCTTCTGTTTCACCAGCAGAATGCCAGCATTCCTGTGCGCTTTGGCTGCTGTGTTGTGTTAATCGAACATTGGATTTCCCCCCTGCCTAGCTCTTGGCAAACTGGGGGAGTAACTCTTAATGAGGTTTTTCCTCTGAGAATGACCACCACTTCGACGGTTCTGCTGTGCTGCTGTGCTGATATGCTGCTGTCAGCTGTTGCTTTCCTTGCTCTGTAGATGCTTCCAGGTTTGGGTATTGCCTGCACTGCTCTACTCCCCTACAACCCCTCGCGTCACAAGGGAATTTGCTGGTGCCTTGGCTGCTATGCTGCCTGCCTCTCACTGCTGCTTTTTCCTTTTTTTTAAATTCACCGTCATCCATTTTTTCTCCCTCTTCTACAACTTTTTTGTTTTCTCCTTTTCTTCAAAGGCTGTCAGACGCTACCGAGTCGACCACGAGGTATACATCACTGCTGTCATCATCCAGCTTGGTGGTCTGACAGCTCTGCTTTCTCTTCTATGGTTTTGCCTGCCTGCATTCTCTCCCTCTCTTTTCATTTTTTCTCACCTTCAAACAATTATTTTTTTCCCTTACTGTTGCAGAGAATAACTTGACCTCAAGACCTAATTCACTTTTAAAATGCTGCCAATTATTTTTTTTCACTCAAAGCCTTCTGAAATGCTTCCCCATGCCTTTCTGGCTGTTTGAGAACTCCCCTATTTGACAATTAGCTTGCCAAGTGAGACCATGAAGGCTTGGTGGATTTGTAAAAGCCTACATAAAACAGCTGTAGAATTGGGCTCTTGGACTGCAATAGAAGGGGAGTGTATCCAAAGTACTTCGCAGGTATAAGCCCTGTTTGAAGTGAGCCTTGTTCTGAAACATCAACTATTTTTAAAACTCTGTTCACAAATATACCACAAATAAACTTTCAGCCCCAAATACATCCAGATTGCTGTAGCATACCATATTTAAAGTTTACATGGATTGATCTATATTGTTTGTTAAACCCTTTGATTTCTTCACTAATCACATTTTCCAGAATGTAACCGTCTTTACTTCCCACCAGTGCTAATTGGTGGGTATTGATGCCTTCTTCTCCAACATTTGCGAATCATTTCAAATGAGCTGCAAGAAAAGATTGCAAGGGAAAGGGGTTTTTAGTTTGAAGCATTCTTGTGAGAACCCCACGCTCCTTGGGTTGGCTGCACCAAGTTGTTCTCTCCAGCAGAAATTTCTTCCCTCCCAGGATGTTTATCCACCTTAGCTTTCCTCCCTTACCACCTTTTGCATTGTATGAGTTTTTTACCCATCATGCATCCTGTACACTACAGGTCCCGCAACCTGGGCGATGGCCACCTCCAAGCCAGACATCATGGTCATCCTGTTGAGCAAGTTGATGGAGGAAGGAGACATGTTTTACAAGGTGAGAGATGGAAAACTGAGCTCTTCACCAAGTATCAGTAAACGACCTTGTATCTAGTTATCAGTGTTTATTTCTTAGCTGCTGCAATTGCATCAAAACAGTTCCTGAGCGGGACGTTGGATAAAGATTAGAGATATTAAGAAAAATTTCTTTTTATTTTTGGAATTAGTGCAACATTAATGAAATATCAGGGAACATGTTGGAAAGGAACTAATTTGGCTTTAGTAAAAAGATTTAAGGAGTTATGTATGAATATGGTTTAAATTTTGAAATTTTAAGGTTTCTAAGACAAGATAAGGTTAAAGAAATTAAGGTAAATTGAATAACAGAATATATTAAAAGATGGAAAAGATATGTTGAATTAATAAATAAGATAGATTGTTAAGATAAATTATTTAAATTAAAATTGAGAAATAAGGGAAGAATTTGCTGGAATAATGAATTAAATTAGAATACAAAAAGGGAGGTGTGAGGAGGTTCAAGAAATAAGCAAATGAAAGGATGTAATTTGAGATAACAGTTCCTAAGCTTTCACATTTTTTCCCTTGCTCTTCTGACTATGCCACAGGGTGACTGAGTGGGTGTCAAGTCTATGATGTTTCTTTATTCTGCACTCTCTCAGTGGCTAAAAGAACCTAATTTGAATAATTTGAATTCAAATGAGCAAGTGTATATAAATGTGCTTAATTTGCACAATTCATGTGCATCAGTTAATTTGTAATTTTTAGCACAAGCAGTCCTGACAGTAGCTTGAATTGCTGAATGAATAAAAATCCCCTAGTCTCAGAATCCCCTGGCAGCAGGTGCCCATTACTCCAAAACACTGCAGTACATCTAAGTTAATGGTTGCCACTGTAGAACATCTCTTTATTTTTGATGTTTTGATGTGGTGGCACTGCCCATGGCCATTGGGATTAAATGCATACAGTCAGCATGTCCATGGAACTTAAGACCCCATTGAGCCCTGTGTCTGACAGGGTTGTCCGTAGCATCACTGCTTGACTAAATTGCTGGGCTTTGTGAAGCAAAACAGCAGCAGTAGCAACACCCATAAAACACTTTTATGTTCTCCAATATCTGGAATAGCTTTCTTAGAATCAAGGTGGTTCTCTTAATTCAGAATCTTGAGCTACTGCTTGGCTACAGTTTATACCTTGCACTAAAAAATAAAATTCTGCACCACATTGCTACTTGCCTTGGGACGAAAGCCTCTGCTGGTGCCAATGGGATGTTGCCATCCAATGTGGATATTATGATGATATGAGCAGAAGACGCAAAAGGATGCACTAAGCTCATGGAATGCCTTGCCCCATGAAAGTTGTATAGTGGTACCTTGGTTTTCGAACACCATGCGTTCCAGGTGTCCGTTTGACTCCCAGAACCATTCAAAAACCAAAGTGCGGCTTCTGATTGGCTGCAGAAGTGTCCTTCAGCCAATCGGAAGCCGTGCTGGATGTTCGGCTTCTGAAAATTGTTCGAAAACCAGAACACTCATTTCCAGGTTTTGATTGTTCAGGAGCCGATTTGTTCAGGAGCCAAGGCTTTCGGCTTCCAAGGTATGACTGTAATTGGTTTCCTCCCTTGCTATTTTCTGCTGGTTGTTAACCATTATATCTTGGCAGGGTTTTGCAGCATCTGACAGATAAACCAAACAAACCTACAAAATTAACTGATTCTCATGGGTTTTTGATTGATAAGTGTATATTGTTGTTTTTATAAAATTGTAATTTGTAGATATTGTAAGCTGTTTCTCCTTTTGCAACAGCAAGGGGTGGGATATAAATGGTTTCATAAAGTAAATGAATAAATAGATGAATAAAAGGAGATGCATTGGAGGCAATAGGCCTGAGATACAGAAACTAGAGTCAATGGGGGAAAGACAGGTAATTTAAAAGTATGTGCCTCTTAGGATATTATGGAGGTCCCTGGGCACTGACCCCTCCATTTCCAGGACTGGAAGTGGTATTGTGGGCAAGAGGCTCTTTCCTGCCAAATCCATCCTTGAAATCCTTCTGCTTCTATAGTGGGGAGGCCATTAATAGTTCAATATTTCCTTCAGCTGGGAAATCAGCCGTGTGTGGGGGGGAAACATCCACTTTTTTCTAAGCCTTATGTCAAAGTAGTACAGGAAGAGGTTCTGTTTGGCAGGAACCTTTGGGCAGTTTATATTACTGTCAGGTACATGTTGTTAGTCGGTCACTTGTGTTCTCATTGGTCCCCTGTCCATGGTGAGACGGACAAGTAATTGACCAGGTCACTTCAGACTAGTACCAATGTGTGCAATACTTTTGGACATACTTCCACGATGTGCCCAATCATTCTTTGAGCTAACCTTTACCCAGTGTATTTAGTATTTACGGTAAATCCAGTGGCATCTTAAGAAAACCCACCTAACCATTCTCTAGGGTCTGAGCTTTTCAGCTGTGCTAAGCTTTCTCCCTCCAGTATCAGAACAAGAAACCTAGAAATTAATTTACAATCTACAGAGGAAAGCTTTTCTCTTAAAGACTTCCATGCAGCCAAATTTCATTCGGCAAGGAACGACAGCTGCCATGCTTATTTCTAGATCCCTCTGGTGCAACTGTGTAGGCACATTCAGCTGTCTTCAGCGATTGTCTTATAACTGCTACAATGCTGAAATAGAAAACTGAGTGGTGCATTTTGACCTGTTTGCCGTTCTGCTAGAAAGGGAAAGTGAAGGAGGCTGCCCAGCGCTACCAGTATGCTCTGAAGAAGTTCCCCCGAGAAGGGTTTGGAGAGGACCTGAAAACCTTCCGGGAACTGAAGGTGTCACTCCTTCTCAACCTCTCCAGATGCCGGAGGAAAATGAATGTAAGTGGCCTCCTTCTCAAAGCCCCTTCCTGGCAATGATCCTTTCCCAGCTCCCTTTCCTGTTCCTAAACCACTCCCTAACCAGACTCTTTCCCAGACTCCTGGAATGGCCTTGAAAACCTCCACCTTTTTGTAACCTGGTTGTCCTTCACAGAGCACTGGCGTTTTACAGTTCTGAAACAGCCAAGCCAATGGTTTGAGATTAATTTCAAGCAATTAAAAATTCATCGCTATATAAAAACAGCTGTTATAGCTCTCTTTGATTTTATTTTTTTCTCAATGTCTGTATGTGTGCAGATTGGAGGATGCTGTCGGACTTGTAATGCTGTCATAGCCTTCTGAAGCTCTTGCTTTCTCTTAGAGCAGTGACTCAGAATCAGAAACACATAACCCCCACACCCTCCCATCCACCTCCTGGAGATGGGCAACAACTTGCATTAGTTGCAATCTGTTCCTGTGTCTAAAAACATAGCATGGGAAGTGTTTTTGCAAGTGCGTGAAAGAGAAACAATACTGTTTATGCTAGGAATCCAGTAAATGTCTCAGCAATATAGAAGCCAACATATATAATAAAGCTTTGCGCATTTGGATTTAAAGTCAAGGATTTGGCATGCAAATATTTTAAAGAATAGACGTGTTTTAATCATATCTGTTAAGTGTGGCCACAGAGCTAAGAAACAGAGTTAACTTAACATTAGCACTTTGCAGAAACTGTTTAGGGAGTGCTTTAATAGGGAGGACAGAAGCAAGAAACTAAAAATGTATGTATAAAACCAAACATACCCAGTGAGCATATCCAGACCATTTTGAAGGGTTTTCTTAAACTTTCCAAGGTTTGCATCCTCCTTTTTTAATGGGTACCAAAATAAAATTCAGAGTTACTGTATAAGTAGAGGCTTACTTGAATGCCCTCATCTCAGGGTTGGGTTGCATAGCTTCACTGCAGCCATCCACTCCAGCCAGAGTTAGCAGCTGTTAAGGTACCCTACACTGAAACATTCTGCCTAATCACAGTTGGCAGGGTGAGTAGCCAGCATTGAAACTGGCAAGGGGCAAAGCTGTGCAGCTGTGAACCCCTTCACATGTTCCTTTAGCACGCAGTTCAAGAGAAAACCCGCCCCCCCAAAAAAGGTCATGAGAAGAGCAGATTGATGGAAAGTTCTGTTTCCAACAGTGCCCAATGTAAAGGTCCAGGCTGCACTTTTAGATTAGCGGTGCAGGGAGAAGATCAACAATAAGTACATACACTAAAGAAGACCTGTCGAATTGACAGAATCCTATATCCAGCAAGGTTTCCAGGGCAGACACGGTGACAGCAGACCGATTGAAGAGACACACAAGGAACGAAGTGAGTCCTTATAGGCCCAGCCTGGGAGTGGATAACCTCGTAACTTCACAAAACAGGGTTGGATCTCTCGATACCAGCTATCTGTGACATGACGTCAGTGTTGGAAAATACCAAGTCCACATATAAAAATATTTCCATGTCATATTATTATTTTTTCTTCCCAAATTCTCTGTGTGTGTATATATTCAATGACTTATCTACGCACCTATTGTGATGGCAGGATTTTGGAATGGCGGAGGAATTTGCTACTAAAGCACTGGAGCTGAAACCGAAATCTTATGAAGCTTACTATGCAAGAGCAAGGGCCAAACGCAGCAGCAGGTGAGAGGAGAGCCAGAGAGAAATGAAAGGTTCTGTTCTCCTGAGGTTTGGGTGTGACACATTCCAAAAACGCCCCCATTCCGCACAAGTGAATCGACAGCAAGGGATTGCCCAAGGGGAGACTATAACTCTAACCCTCGGAAATACCAGGTTAAGAAACTCGCCCTCTTCCATTAAGCCGAGCACCTTCCACAGTTCCAAATATAGTAATTCTGTAAGTTGGACCATAGTGTCCTCAGAGCATTCTGTCAGTGCTAGATTTATTCACATCACTGAAGCACGCAGCAGCTGAGCATCTGGAGGGCATGTTTGGGGGTTAACTAGTGACTGCTCTGCTCTGTGCTCGAAATTAGTTGTTGCTGTGGGATGGAAGCAGTGGGATCCAGTTGTATCTCATCTGTGTTCTGGTTGGTGCTTAAAGGGGCCTAGCTCATCTGCTGCAGGTGGGATCACATTTCAGAATCCTGAACTGACTGGAGAGCTTTGCCTTTCAGCCACTGCTAGCCTCTTTGCTCAGCTCATGGAGTAGCGTACCTGCTGTGACTGTTTGGAGCTTTGTTTTGTTCCAGAGTTTCTTTTGTACCTACCCATTTGATCATCACTGCTGAGCTGGAGGCCCTGCAGTTCAACCTCTCAGCTCAAGGAGGACCCACTGAAGTGGCAATAAACCCTCGTCTGGGTCTCTCACTGCTATAATTAAACTTCCATTCCAGAAACAGAGCTCTGTAAATTGAGCCACACTTTCCCTTCTTTTATGCATTCATATTCGGCTCCCCACTGCTCGCAATAAATTGGCAACCAATTTCCTTTCGGGGACTTTCCCACATTTCTTCACTCAGGGTCCATCATACCACTTTAAAGAAAAGAAAGAAAAAGCTTTCCCTTGCCATACCATGCCTTGCCTCCTAGCATCAGCAGTCAGGGGAGGTCAAAGTTTTGGGGCTTGGGGAATTTGTTGTGTTCTAAAAAACCAAACAATAAAACGAAATGCATGAAGGGCGTAGAGGATATTCTCTACCAATCGCAATCACATTCGAGTAGATGACTGTTTTGTTGAAAAGCTACCAGTGTCCCTGTAAATGACAACCCACCTCCCCCCAAACTCCCCACCCTTCTGTTCCTCAAAAGATAGCCAAAGGCATTGTGGGCTTGTGTCAGGCACTCTCTCCCTTCCTTGTTCCCTTCATTCCCAAGAGAACAATTCTCAGAGCAGAATGCATTGGCTGCAGGAAGGCCAGAGCTTGCCACTTGCCTGGAGCATCGTAAGGGCTTAAGCTCAGACCTTAAATAGTTGGAGGGGCACAGCTAAACCTACCCTGCATACCATAAAGTTGCCTTCCTTGTTCCCTTCATTTCCAAGAGAGCAATCTTGGGAAAACTGGCTTGTGTCCTCTGCCGTGGAAATGGAAGAAACAGCCAAAGGCTGAAGAATCTGGTTCTTACAGGACTCGGAACATCCTCCCCACCATGGCTAGCAATGCTTTTCTTCGCAAGAAACTTGTTGCTTAAGTCTTCCCAAATCCGTTCCGATCCAGAGTAACTTTGGTTCTTCTTTTTTTGTCCCCTCTCTTGGGTCGAGCAGGCAGTTTTCAGCAGCGCTGGAGGACCTGAACGAGGCCATCAAGCTCTGTCCGAACAACCGTGAGATCCAGCGGCTGCTGATGAGGGTGGAGGAAGAGTGCAGACAGACGCAGGCGCAACTACAGCAAGAGCCTCTTGCGGTATCTGAGCCTGAAACGCAGCACGAAGAGTTGTATGCAGTGCAGGACATCTTGGAAGAGGAGTACCTTGAGCAAGATGTAGAAGAAAACATTTCTGTTGGCTTGCAGACGGAGTCACGGCCGAGCCAAACTCTGCCCATCATCCAGAGCCCACCTTCTTCTCCTGCCCACCGAGACTCTGCCTACATCTCCAGCTCACCGCTTAGTTCACATCAGGTCTTTGACTTCAGGTCAAATAGTTCTGTGGGGTCACCAACAAGGCAAGGGTACCAGCCCACCTCCCCAGCACTCTCCCCAACGCACCAGAACTCCCATTATAGGCCTAGCCCAGCACACACATCTCCTGCGCACCAGGCCTCATCTTATCGCTTTAGCCCACCTCCAGTAGGTAGCCAAGGGAAAGAGTATCAAAGCCCACCTCCTTCTCCCCTTCGTAGAGGCCCTCAGTACCGAGCCAGCCCTCCAGCAGATAGCATGAGTGTCTACAGGGCTCAGTCCGGCTCACCCGTACGATATCAGCAGGAACCCAGCATCAGTCAACTTCCCAGCCGGCCAAAGTCTCCACTCTCCAAAATGACACAGAGGTCCTTCCAGATGCTTCCGCTGCCTGTTGCAGTCCCCCAGCAAGGGCTCAGGTTGCAGCCTGCCAAGGCACAGATCGTCAGAAGCAACCAGCCGAGTTCGGCCGTGCACTGCAGTACTGTGATCCCGACGGGCACTTACGGCCAGGTGGCCCATTCAGTGACCAGCAAATACCAGTCGGCGTCGACGGAAATGGCTGCTGGCCAAAACCGGTTGGTCTACCAGACCTCCATTGGGGGAATAGTAGGGGATGGGCGGCCCATGCAGCACGTTCAGGCCAGTCTCAGTGCAGGGGCCATCTGTCAGCATGGAGGGCTGGCTAAAGAGGATCTTCCACAAAGGCCTTCCTCTGCTTATCGCGGTGGGATGAGATATAACCAGACCCCACAGATCGGGCGCAGCCAGTCCGCTTCCTATTACCCAGTCTGTCATACAAAGCTCGATCTCGAACGTTCCTCCCTTCCCACTAGCCAGCTTGGTTCGCCAGATATCTCTCACTTGATACGAAGGCCCATGGCAGTAAATCCCAATGAAATCAAACCTCACCCCCCGACCCCAAGGCCCCTGCTTCATTCTCAAAGTGTTGGCCTCCGATTTTCCCCTTCCAGCAATAGCATCTCATCCACTCCCAATCTGAACCCCCCCTTCCGCCCTTCTGCTTCTATTCAGCAGATGGAGATCCCCCTTAAGCCAGCCTATGACAGGTCATGCGATGAGCTTTCCCCAGTCTCTCCGACGCAGGGCGGTTACCCCAGCGAGCCTGCCCGCTCCAGGACCACACCTTTCATGGGAATCATTGATAAAACGGCCCGGACTCAGCAGTATCCCCACCTGCACCAACAGAACCGAACCTGGGCTGTGTCTTCAGTGGATACCGTCATAAGCCCCACGTCCCCAGGAAACCTCCCCCAGCCAGAAACGTTCAGCCCGCCTTCCTCAATCAGCAGCATTGCCTTTTATAACAAAACCAACAATGCACAGAATGGCCACTTGCTAGAAGACGACTATTACAGCCCACATGGGATATTGGCCAATGGCTCCCGAGGAGACCTCCTAGAGAGAGTTAGCCAAACCTCTTCGTATCCCGATGTTAAGGTGGCCAGGACACTGCCTGTTGCACAGGCGTATCAGGACAACCTCTATAGGCAACTCTCCAGAGACTCCAGGCAAGGACAGACATCCCCTATCAAACCAAAGAGACCATTTGTGGAGTCTAATGTGTGAAACGGACGTGTCTTGGAGTAAGAGCCTTGTTTTCAGCACACTTTTCCCGGCTGAATTCCCACATTACACTGCTGTTTTTCTTCCTCCCTTTTTGAATTTTTCATTCACCTAGCAGGCCACCAACTAGGGTTTTTTTCTGTGTGGTGATGAGGCAGTCCAAGACATGCTCCAAACCCTTTGCTGCACACAGCTGACCTCAGATAAAGCCAGCACTGTACATGTCTTCAGCTGTCAATTAGGCAATGTTAGTACACGGTGATGGGGCTGACCTAGGAGGAATCACTCGAGAGAGGTAACCAGCTCTTTGAAAAAACAAAATGCGGATTCCAAAATTCAGATTGGTTTAAATATAGGCTTTGAAACACTTACTAAATTTTCCTCCAGAGTACTGAGCCCTTTTGACTTGGAAATTGCACTCTTTCAGTCAGCACAGTGCTGTCCACATTGTTTTGTTGTGTCCAAAGAGCTTGTTGACCTGCACAGAATGGGGATTTTATTTTGTTCGTAATACAGTGAGGAGCTATGCATAAAACCCATCCTGCTTTATCTGGTGTGATAGGACTGAACATTAGTATTAAGGGTTCATGGTTGTGAATTTTTCAAAATCCTTTCCAGCCAATCTGTTGGTATGGACTTCCACGGGTAACATTGCTTTGAAAGGCATGTTCGGAATGATACTGTTTGGATTTCCTCTGAGGCAGTTGAACAAATATTCAGGGAGAAATCAAAGTTCTCTCCACTTCAGCCAATCAGTGGGCGGCTACCTCGGTCTGTATATCGGACTTCCTGTCCATTTTCAGTGGGCTTGTCCTCCTAATGGAACAGCACCTTACCGATTCACACTCCAGGTATTGTTCCCAAATCAAGAAAGCTCATTATAAACTGTGAGGTGTCCTATCATTTGAAAGCGTGATGGGGGAAACTGAGAAAGAGAAGCAGAATCTGTACAGGCACTCCCATTGTGACGGTTAATGCCCTCCCCCTAGAAGTCAGTATTAGTACACTCGTAGCAACGCTTCCTGAGTTAGAGACCCATTGAGCCATCTTGGCATTCCTTTTCCGGCTGACACTTTTGGAGTGAAGCACTCTCTTCCACTCTTCTTCTCTGGTTGTGGGGCGCTGCGACTTGGGTCATTTAGACCAATACGATACTGATGTTTGAGGAATATGCTCTTAAGTGTTAGAAACTGGAGCTGTTTCCCCAGGCCAAATACAGAAGGCAGAACTGGGTGGGAGAAGATCAGATGTTGACAAAAATGATGGCGAGGAGTTTTGAGGGCAGTTAAAGGTCATTCCTGAGTAGCAAAGGCTTTTCAGATTCATGCCTCTGTAGGTAATCCGTGAATGTATGCAGGTGCTCAAAAGGTCATCAGAGGTACAGTGAAATGGCAGGAATGCAAAATCACACCTTGCCCTTTCTTCATTTTGGCTGGACAAAGGATAAAGCTGGCTTCCTGTTAATTAAGCAGGGTTTTTTCCTCCACGCTATGATTGCACCAGCTGTAGACTGCTAGTCTTTTGTCCCAGCTGAAACGGAGTTCCTCATTTCTGTTATCAGGATGTGCAAAACGATACAATGATTTCTGAAACATAAATCAGGTATATACATACCCTTTGCTTCCTATGATTTACTTTCAGTACTTGGCTTCTTTCTGAAGTCCGTTTGCTGTCCTCAGGAGTCCCTCTCTATAAATAGAAAAGTGATTAGAAAAGGCATTTCCATTAAACAGCAAGGCTTGCACCTTCAGGTGAGGTTGGCGGGTTCCATACCTGGAAGTGTTACTGACAATATGTTTATGCTTTAAGATCCTGGAATTCAGAGACACAACAGAGATTCATGTAACCGTTTCAGGAAATCTTTTCATTCTCAGAACGAGTAGTCCTTGTTTGAGTGCGAAGGGGATGTTTTCAAGGGTTTGTTTTACTTCGGTTTTTACTTTGATCTTTGCATAGGACTCTTTTTGTACATCTTTTTCCAGCTCTTAACTGTTGTATTCCAGAACCTGCAGTAATAGAAAACACTTAGCAAAAGAGGTGTTAGCATAATCTCTTCTGCTGCTATGGGGCTTGCCAAAGTGTACTGGTGCCCAGCAAGTCCAGAAGTTGGCAGCTACATTTTTCGGGAATATGCTTTTCCGCTGTTTCAACTTGCATGTTGAAAGGGACAGTGCTGTGCCCTCTTGTGAGTGTGTGTATGAGAGAGGGGGGAGGGAGCTTTCGTACATAACCCAAGATATAAAGAAGGTGCAAATTTGCTTTCCTTTATTTTGGCGATGGAAAAAGCTACTTCCTGCTTTCCCCACACGTTACTTTTGTTGTCCTGGGGAAGTAAAAAAGGGTTGATAACCTCCCCCCTGCACTTGCTATATGTAGGGAATCATCCTTATGATTTTAGTGTTGTCTTAGACATTTTTTTTCTGCTTTATAAAGACAGATTACTTTAAACTCTTAAAAACTGGAATACACACCACCAAACAAGAATATGTTTGCATGTGTTTATCGGTGATTTTTCTTAAGAGATTTGTGGTAACTACTTTGGAACTGCTTGTATCATGCAGAAGATAGAACCCATTTTACTGCAGCGGACAGTGGAAGGTCAAATTAATCGTTTCCGTTGTTTGCCTTTTGGGCTACGATAAAAGATCCTCGCACCAAATTGTTTGGTATGGCTGGAGTGCACTGAGGCATTAACCTGCTGTCTTTCCCGATAAAGCAAGTAGAGAAACGCAACCAAATTTAGCTGTCTCCACCATGCGGGAGGCGGAGGAACAATGTTGCTGTCATGCCGATCCGATCACCTTTGCAGTTCCAACATACGAATCTTCTTGATGGCATAATGCTGTAGTTCTTGAATCTGGCTGCTTTGCTCTGCTCTTCACTGCCATGGGGTTCCCAGTACCATATCTGTTTACATTTAGTGTTTAGTGAAAGAAATGGCATGCACATCCAAAACGAGGTTTTAATACTTCCATTGGGCAGGGTTTCCCCCTCTTCTTCTTCTCCTCTCCCCCCCCCCCAGTACTGTGTTGTGATTTCACAGGATTTTTGCACTGATGGGTTTGTCACCTGCTCTCTTTGTAAATGGGGGGGGGTGCACTTTACAGTTTCATTTGTCACTATGATAAATGCTGGTTATTTAAGTGTGATCAGTGTCTTCATTAGAAATACAACAGAACAGCTCTCGTCTTTCAGTGTATTAAAACAGAAGCAATGACTCAAAATATATAGCACAAGTATTAGCTGTTGTACATAAGCATCAAAAGGCGAAGTACTTTTTTCAATATAAAGAGAAACATTTGCTGTGACTTATCGAACTGATCTCCTAGCAATTCTCTTTAGGAGCACCTGAGGCTTAATTGTGACTGCTTTTAGTTACCAGGTAACACACATCTCAGCTGAAATAGGAGGCGTTTTTTGTCTTAGAAGTTGGCAGGAGGCAGTTCCTTCTGTTTTTGCTCTTAGCTTAGACCTCGGTTGCTCATTGTGTCCTCTCCTGAAATACAATGTGATAGAGCACAAAGTAATTTCTTTCGCTGTCCTTTCTGCAATTGAAATGCCTTTCCAAGTGAGGCTTTTTCTACTCAGGAAAGTGTGATAGAATGGCTTAACACTCAAGAGAAGGCTCCCAGATGCTTTTTTATTTTATTTTAAGGGCCATGTAAAAATAACTGCACCTGTCTCCCTCTCTAAGCTGGAGTTTTAGAACTCTCTTTACCTGCACAAACACACCAAATACTCCAGTGGCATTTCTGCTTTGAATGTATGCCCGCGTATGCCACCGCTTCATGTCATTCTAACACTGCAGAAAGCTTCTAGGCTGAGTGGAAGGCTTATTCTAGAGCTAGAATCTAGTTGCAGGTTTATGGTGCATGTGTTACGGCTCTCGAAGCAGTACCAGATGCTTCTCTCTGAGGACCAAGGTAGACCTGTCCTTAATTGCGTGAACGCAGTGAAGAAGCACATTTTTGTTTGTTATGTTAGTAGCTGCCATATCTGAGCAGCCTCAGAACCACAGGGACCAGGAGGGGGAGTTCCACTTTGGTCCCAGCAGCAAGTTCTAGAAAGCTGCCAATGGAGTCTTTCTTTGAAATGCAAAGGGCACCTTCTGGACTTTGGCACACTTAGAGACTTCTCCCCACCCTCTGCCACGATCTCAAGGTTTTGCAGGCTTCACCATGGCTGCTATTTACATACCAAAATAATTTGTGTGCTGTACTTTAATTGCATTCAACCAATTAACTTGACCCTGGTTTGAGTCTGCCTCCTGGGGTCTCGCCACTTGGGTGCCTATAAACTGATGCTGGCACCTGGAAATTTGAAACAGGGTGGAATTCAACACTAGGCCTACTCAGAATAGGCTCACTGAAATTAAAGAACATGACTCCATTAGGTCTTTTCATTTCAGAGGGTCTACTCTTGAGTAAAAGTCGGCTGAATTCCACCCAACTAGTCTGAGCTGGCTCTTTAAAATAGGATGGGAATCTGAATACATTGCAAGGTCTGCTTTGCTCCAGGGGAGAGAGCTATCAGCTTGGAACATGCTCTACTGCTAGCTGTAAGAAATGTACTTAGAGGTAAAGAGTTTATTTGAGAGTGGCTGAAAATGTGCCTGCTGTTGCAGTTTCCAAGAGGCAGAGGCTGTCCACATATGCAGAACATTGGGGAAGGAGAACATTTCCTTTCAGATACTAAGCCTGAAGGCTGTTTTTCTTTTATTACATGTATTTCTTCTAACAAGCATTAGACTGCGGAGAAAGGGGGGAGGGCGAAGCCTGCACATGTTTTGAAAGCCCAAGTCACTGGCCTGGCCTTTTGCAGCAGTGAACAAAATTGCTACCGTTCCAGATCCACACAGAAAGTCATCTAGTAAAAACCAAAGTGCCAGCTTCTCCACGCCTTACATAAAGCAACGAACATCACTGCGTGCCTAGAAATTATTCTCCTTCTCTGCTTAAGGTGGCCCCTTGCAAACTCTTGGGTGGCAGGCGACATCTCTCCCCATTTCCCTCTTCTTAAATACGCTGGGAGTCCCAGGGCCTTCATCTACCGGAATTCAGCTTATAAAAAGGGCTTAGAAGGGGACGAGAAATAATGTACCTCCTTTTACATGTTAGATGCCTTCACTAAATGTATGGTTGCTGTGGAAAGTGAAGGAGGAACTTGGGGCACAAGCACAAAGGGGTGGAAAACCTGAACTGCTCTCCCTCCCCCCCGAATTACTTGAACTCAATTGCTGGATGATTTTTCTCCCCTAACAAAAACATATTAAGGGCTGAAATTACATAGCAGGCTATTATGTTTGCAGTTCTTGATTATAATCCACCTGCTATACCAGACTAGGCCCCTCCTGGCAAATAAAACCCTGTTTTCTTCTTGACAATTCTTTGGGATCTTCACAGAACTGCTTTCCCCACAGAAAGGCAGACACCGCTGGCTTGGGGCTGCTGCTTCTGATTCTGAGGCTACTGGGAAAACGGAACGAGGTTTTTGCACTTTTACGCTTGCTTAGAAAGGGAAAGAGAGAGATGATGCTTTTCCTCCTGGCTGCCGTCACACTGAGTCCGTGAGCAAGGTGGGGCAGTTCAGCTCTGTTCTGCCTGGACATGCACCAGACCCTGAGTCCATTTCCTAGGAGTACCCACTGTTATTTACCGATACTGACATTTCCACAGAGTGCAAGGCACTGATCTGTATAGGTCCAGGGTTTGGGGTATTTTTGGAGGGGATGAATGTTTTGCACCAGTTCAAACGTGTTTCCCATTCCGGTGGTGTTCTTTCGTTTTGCATTTTCTTCCCTATGAGCATTGCAGCATTTTGCCTGCCTTGTCTGCCTCTGTACAGTAACACAGCACTCCTTTGTATTAAAGAAGAAGAAAAAACCTTTAAGGTTTGCCATCCTTCAAGTCACTTGCTGGGAAGACACTGAGTTCTTTTTCCTTTTAGCTTTTCTATGATTCTGATGTAAAGGATTTTCTCTGTACAGTATAATAATATTCAATTGCATGTTCTGTTCTCTTACTGATATATTGAATCACCAACACAGTTGTGATCTTTTGCAGCAGGGCAGCCGCACAAACCCCTGCGCTCAGCTAAGACTCTTGGCCACTCCTGTATAAAAGGAAAGAAATGTCTTTCTTTCCCTTCACTGTACTTGCTTGAGCAGAGTTTTATTGTCTGTACATGTGAGCTGTCAGATAGACGTGGAAAAAGTTCAAAAAGAATGCATTCTCCCCTGCCCCTCCCTAATGTATACAGATTGTAACCTGTACAATGAACTGTATGTATGAAAAAAAATGTACTTATTTATAAATGGTTAACACTTGGAAATATTGGGTTGACTACTGTGTTCAGCACATCTGCTTCAAATATCTGGCTGGTGGGATGGGGGGGGGCGGGACACATGGTTTCCAGGCGCAGCTCCTCAGCTAATTTGCCAGTTTTAGTTTACACCTTGACTTATGAGTTGATAACACACCATGTAGCTTGGCTCCTTGCAAACTACAGTGGTACCTCGGGTTACAGACACTTCAGGTTACAGATGCTTCAGGTTACAGACTCCGCTAACCCAGAAATAGTACCTCAGGTTAAGAACTTTGCTTCAGGATGAGAACAGAAATCGTGCTCCGGCGGCGCAGTGGCAGCAGAAGGCCCCATTAGCTAAAGCGGTGCTTCAGATTAAGAACAGTCTCAGGTTAAGAATGGACTTCCGGAACGAATTAAGTACTTAACCCGAGGTACCACTGTACACTTCTTGGCTTCATCAGCTCCCATTTCAAATACTTATACCATTGGCATATTTGTGCTCAAGGGAGCAGTTGTCAATACATGATTTGTTTTCTGATTGTGAGTTTCTATGTCGCCAGGGGACTGGGGCAGTAGTGCTTCAGTTTCCATTGGTAAAAGACGGCACAGTTTGTTTAAGCTAGTCTTACAGACACCTCTGGTTGTTGGCTCTCCATGTTGGAGTTGTAGAGTTGGAAGGGACTCTGAGGATCATCTAGTCCATACACACACACCACAGTGCAGGAATATGCAGCTGTCCTGTATGGGGATCGAAGTTGTGACCTTGGCATTATCTGCACCACACTCTTAACAAACTGAGCTATCCAGTATCTAGATAAGAATCTCATACACATACAAATGAAAACCATTTTACCTTTGTGTTTGGGAGGCTGCTAAAGAAAGGAACCTTGACAGAAAAACTTCGAAGTAGAGATGTACTGTAATTAAATGAGGGGTTGAATCTTGATGGATATGATTTTAGACCTCGCTGTGGAAGTTTAGTCACTGCATTTGTGCTAACACATCATCTTCCCTGAGATAATCTCTAGTCCTGGTCTTCAGTAGAATCTGGCTTTGTGTAGCACTGATTAGCTAGCCCTTGCATAAGTCGCAAACCTGCATGCATACCACTGTTCGGACAGAGCTGTGGGAAATAACCACTGAAAACTTTTAGAACTGTAAAAACCTGAATGGATGAATATGCAAATACTGAAAGAATACAAGAGCAAGTGTAAAGCACAGGTGGGGTAATGAACCACAAGAAGCAATCACATGTTCAAATTGGAGGTTGTATGTGTGTCTTTACAGGAGCAAAGCCAAAGTGAAGCTGAGATCACCCCACAGCAAAATGAACCTCACATCTGTTCCTGCTTAAAGGTACGGCCATACAGAGGATGACTGCTATGTCCACAACACATTTCAGTCAGGATTACAGTAATCATAGTTGCTGTAGGGTGGAGATTGTAGAGAGGCTTGTTTCTGGAGGCACACTACAGACACACAGTCCGATGCACCCACTCTTCAAACCTGATGTTAATCCATGCTCTAGCTCAGGCACAGGCAAACTCGGCCCTCCAGATGTTTTGGGACGACAACTCCCATCATCCCTGACCACTGGTCCTGTTAGCTAGGGGTGATGGGAGTTGTAGTCCCAAAAACATCTGGAGGGCCGAGTTTGCCTACGCCTGCTTTAGCTGCATTGCAGTATATAGTTAACATGCCAGACTATGTTCTTAAGCATTTTCAATATGCTTGGTGACTTGTGAAATTCAGACTAAGTACTATGCAGCCTAGTTTTTTGTATGTTTGGAAGCAAGACCCATTTAGTTCAGTGAAGCATTCTTCTAAGTAAACATTAGGAGTGCATCCTTATGTAATCCCAACCACTGCCTACGTCTTGCTGCAAATACTGACTGAAATCAAACTCGTCCACCAAACACAAAATATATGGCTGATACAAAAACAAGTTGGCCTGTGCTGAGACAACATTTAGGTTAATGCTTTTGTTACAGGGACTGAATTGTTTTCATTTTCATTCTGTTACACAATCTTCCAATGGAGAATTTGTGGTGCTTGCAAAGAAAGGTAGCATCTTAATCAATTTCAGTGAGTTTCCAGAAAAATGAATATATATGTGTGTGATGCAGATACTTAGCATTTTCAAGCACCTTTCAAATACCCAGAGCTATAACAAAATAATCCTCAAAATGGCCCTGCAAAAGTTGGTCAATAGTATCCCCTTATTACAACTGGTGTATTGAAACTCAAGTCAGTAACTTGCAAAGCAAAGACTTCCATTACATAAGAGACTTAAATGAAACTTAAATGTCCTATCTAACATTGGCTTTTCAAATCCTATAAATGGGTATCTTTTCTCTGCCCAAAGCAAATGAAGATTTATTTATTTATAGCAATTTGAACCATTGGAAGACTAAAAGGAATTCCACCACCACCAAAGACTCCCATTTTCTGCATGCAATTGCCAATATCAGAGGAAAGGCCTCGCATCAAAAATCCTTGAAAGATGATGGATTGTCAGATTCTGGATTTCTATAAAAACTCCGTGAAATAAGAGAGGTTAGATTTTTAAGTTAAATCTCTACAATTGAGGAAGAGGAGACAATTGCAAAAGCAACACTGTTGACTCGGTCTTTCCACATGCTGCATTTGGTCATTGCTATGAAAAGAAACGGAGAAACTATCAAGTCTTACTTAAAGGCCCTTATTATTGGGGGCATCAGAAGTCTCTCAAGTATCATTTTGAAACTGATACGCAAGATAATCTTTTAAATAAGGTAACTTGCTGCCTTCCCAAAACCCAACAACTTTTGGATCCCATCCAAGCTGGGATCAAGCCCAGAAATCTCTTGTCCATCAGCCATTGATTATTTTTTGCCCATTGCAGCAAAAGCCTGAGTGTGAAGAAAAGCCACTTCCAGGGGTGGGTGGGAATGGGGGCTCAATTGTCACCATGGCTTTTAGCCACAGGTAGCAGGGCACAATCTCCATTTGCACTAGGTATTCTGATGACACCCTCCCGTACACAGTTTTGGAATGGGAGCGCTGCTCACAATGCTGTATTTTGAGGGGCCAGTGAACATATCTGTACACAAACAAGATGTGCTGTGGTTGTGCGATGTTGAAATAAGGATTGCTTACCTGCGTGCATGCTGCAACACAAAGCACACTGTCAGCACCACCTGCTGGCTCCACTGTTGGTCCTGGGTCAAGATGTAGCCCTCGGCTGTTCCAAAGGCGACCTACCAGGAGGGGAACCAAGATACTGACAAGGATGCTCTTGACAGAAAGGAACTGTAGGTTCCCTTAAAGAAGTGTTTGCAAAGGGAGCGTGTTAAAATTTGCATGGGTTCTGCAAATGTTGACATGGCAAATATTTTCTATTATACTTTTGTCACGGCCACAGTCCCGTCCCACCCCCTCGCTCCTTCCCCTAAAATGATACTGGATCTGGAGCATAATAGCTGTACAAAATAGTGGCTAGCATTTAAAAAAACAACAACCTGGGAAATATGAGAGAAGCTGTGCATCAAGTCACTGCTGATACTGAGTCTCACCCTTGGGGAAACTCAGATTACCCCGCATGGAGAAATTTGGTGAAATTGTTGCCACCCCAAATTTCTCTGCCAACAAATAGGATGGAGAATTGTAAGAGGTACACAACTCTACTTTGCTGGGCAAGGCAGAGAAAGAGCTGCAATATGGAGAAGGAATGGGATTAAAAAAACACTGGTTGTTTTTATGTGTGCCCAAATTCGCCTCTTCATTCTTATGCTACGAAGATTCCTTTACCAACTCTGATGATCTTTAGAGAAACTGTTTAGCAGCTTTGTAACTTGTGTTGCAGTTGCCTGTGCTCCTCTTGCATCAATAGCTCTCATGTCTGCGCTTGTAGAAGCCAGGGGTGTTTCAGCAAGGGCTGAGGTGGTTTTGCAGCACAGATAGGCAAGCTCCCTGCAGACTGAATTGAAATTAGCTTCCTGGGGGCAAAAGCTCATCTGTACTGAGAGAGTCCTCTGCCTGCTTTGTGTGTGGCTGTTAATTGGTACTGGGCACATATACCATATTGTAATCTGAATTTAGCTAGAAGTGAAATAAAAATGGCTGTCCTACATGGTACTTAATACTGTGCAATATTATCCTGCAGTGCCCACCCCATGGCAGGATCCTGACTTCCTCTTTGAAGCCAGAGCAATTTGCTCGTCCCCCCAATGATGATCACAATTTTGTAATTTCATAACTTCGTAATTGCACTCATAAAAATTAATGAGAGTTTGCTCTGGTTGAGATGAAAGCCCCTTTCCCTGAACTGGGGCATAAGATGCAGAGAGGAAGCCTATAATTAAAGGAGCCCGTAGCCTTGAAAGGCTTCCATTGAGCTTTTCCAGTCCACACTGAGCCAGGCTAGTGCTGCAATAGTGTTTCATGGCCAAAAATACTGCCCAGAATTGGTTCAAGAAAAAGGCAACAGCACAGCTCAACAACTGGGTGGCAACAAGAAAAATCCGTGTTCAATTCCAGACTAAGCAGCTAGTTTGGTTTCACCTGCCTGGCACTCACCTCAACAGCATCATCCATGGCAGGCAGCTGTTTGGAAAATTTGCCCCAAATTTTCAAACACACAAACAGTACGTTTCTGAGCACAATTCAAAGTGTTGGTGCTGAACTTGAAAGCCCTAAATGGCTTTGGCTCTGTATACCTGAAGGAGCATCTCCACCCCCAGTGTTCATCCCGAATACTGAGGTCCAGCTCCGAGAGCCTTCTGGCGGTTCCCTCCCTGCGAGAAGTGAGGTTACAGGGAGCCAAGCAAAGGGCCTTCTCGGTAGTGACACCCTATGAAACATCAGATGTCAAGGAGATGAGTAACTATATAACCCTTAGAAGACATCTGAAGGCAGCCCTGTACAGGGAAGCCATTTAAGGTTTAATGTTTTATTATGTTTTTATATATGTTGGAAGCTGCCCAGAGTGGCTGGGGCAACCCACTTAGATGGGTGGGGTACAAATAAATTATGATGATGATGAA